ATTTTGCAAGAGTTTTCTTTGGATTTAGCTAATTTCCATGCATTTTCTTGAATTTCTTACACTTATATTTATAGTCAAATTTTGTTGGACCTTTGACCATCTCTCGCCCTAAAATTACTATGTTTTGGAGTGATCCTAGCTCTTAAATTAATTTTAAATCCTAGCATTTCAAATGGACTAATTTTTAGCTATTAACATTCCTTTAATTCTTAGCCTTCCATCTTGCCTAATTCTAACCTCTCCTTTTTAACTAAGTAAAAAATTATTAATTAGCCCCTAATCATACAGCTAAAAGTCGGCTGGAAGGGTAGAAAAGTTCCCAAAATTTTACTTAATTTTAATCTCTCATTTTACTAATCTTTTCTCTAATTACGCTTCCAATCATCCTTAAGTTTTTCAATTGATTACTTTAAGTCCTTCCTCTAAAGATATATTAACAACTTTTAAACTCCTTAGGTTCATAGCTAATTTAATTTAGAAGTTCAAACTTTTAATTTCATGCAATTAGATCCCTAATTCTAACATTTTATTCTATACTTTTTTCAAAATTCAATTTCTCTTGATAATAAATTCAAACACTTCTTAAGAGAATTTAATAATGATTTATATGATTTTTATACCTTTATTTAGGCCTCCAATTTAATTTTCTATTGTGAAAATACACTATTTTCTATAGAAAATATTCCTTACATTTAGAAAAATTCATCTAAAGTTATAAAATATTCCTACACATTCTAAATGATTTTTCTATACCTTTTGAAAAATTTTCTTATACCTTTAGAGTACCTAAATTAATTAGTTTACCTCAAAAATACTATTCATACACATTAAAATCCAAATAAAATGCTCACCGCACATCGGAAAATCCATACAACAACATAGAATAATTCAACACCCCTCTAACAAATATTCTAAGCAAATAAAATATTTTTCATGCACAAATAATAAGCTCAAAAAAATTATTTCACATAAAAATCACTATTCATAATGTAAAACCAACAAAATATTCATTGAGCATCAAATAACTATTTTAACAACTCTAAATATTCTTTCAAACCTTTATGGATTATTTTATGCCTTCAAAATATTTTTCATAGGTTTTTAATGTTTAATTTTTATCAAAATTTTAGTTTTAACAGATAGATATCGATTATTATACATCTAAACTAATTAAGTCAGTTGGACCACTAGTTCTAAAGAAAATTATTCTGGACCAAAATAACCATCTTTTATTCCACTTCGTTTTGGACTTGTATTTATGACCTAAACAGAACAAATCTTGGGCCGTACATGTTTAGACGTTATTTTCTTCTTGCTTGTTTTCAAAGATTGGCAGAAAGTTGGATTTGGATTTTCATTGCATCCACTCTAGTACTCCAAAAACTTGACGATGGACCGAGGCCTTTGTTTGGTTTCGGGCTTTGGTCAACCTTCATTTTTCTCATATACTTTCATTCAGAAGCAAGATCATCAATGAATAGAGTTTTAATCCCAATCAGATCCGATTTCAACAAACTACATGGATCCAAGAAATTTTATAATACAAAAGAGGTAATTAGTGATATATATAATAATTAATTTATATATCCACTTTGAGAAAATAGATGGACACAAAAATAGGAGAGAAAATTAAAAAAAAATTTGAGCGAACGTGAAAATCTTCTTATCATTTTTGGTAGATCCGAATATAATTTAATGTGTCTATCTTGCTCCTCAAAGTAGAATTCATAGAGTAACTACTATACATATTACTACTTATTTCTTATGTATTATAAAATTTCTCGATTGATCCGGTATACGAGAACTAAAACTTTAAAATGGGGTGCCAATATGAGAACACTTAGGTTAAATTTGAAGATAAAATAACAAATCAAATAATACATAATTTATAAGAGTGCAAAATACATATCCCCTGGGAAACAAGTCTTAATTTTAAGAATATAATTAAAAAATAAAATGTAAATTTCAGAAAGTTTGGGGATGCCATGGCAGCTTTAATCCTATATCTAGTTCCTCCCTGGAGTACTCAAATATAAGATTCATCTTCATTATTAAATACTTTGTATTCAGATTTATCTTCATCTAAATTGATAATAATATAATTTGAAATTGATATTGATATTTTTTACATAGCATTTTAAGAAATATTAAAATGTCTATAATAGTAGGTTTACGTTACTAATACCAATAGGAATTTATAACTTTAGGTTTATGAATATGAAAAATACAAAGATATGAATTGGAATTATTTATTCTAAAGTCTTACAAATTTTTTTAATTATAATGAGTGATTATGTGCCTGTTTCTATTGCTATGCTTTTAAACCACAATTGTTTTTAGCGTTTATATATATATATAATGAAAACTTCCTCTATAATTTTTTTTTAAGAAAAGATACACATTTGAAAAATGTTAGTGTTTTACGTAATTCTATTTCAATATATCATTGATTTTATTGAAATGATATATATATATATATATATATATATATATATATATATAAAGTACAAACTATACTTGTATAGTGGTTGGGCAGACCTAAGACCTAAATCTATTGTAAAAAAAAAAATCGTTATTTTAATATTGGTGATTGTATAATAAAACTCTCTAATCTCAAAACAGCTAGTTACACACAATATAATCTCTTTACAAAACTACAAACTTCATTATAAAGTGTCTCCAAAAGACTTTAATTAAGGAGGCTTCTATAAGACACCACAAATGTTTAAGCAAAACCAAACTATTACCACAAAAGACCAAGCAACATAGTTTGTTTCTATAACATTTCAAAACAAGAACTCTTACTGCTATTGGGGCAAACCTAAAATTTTGTATACTATTAGCTCTCTATTCTTTATCTATAGTGATAACACCAAACCCCTCTGTTTCTTCCATAATTAATGCACATTAAACAAGACATCTCACCAGATAAGGAATTCTATACCAAATAAAAATTTCTAAATATTTTTTCTAATAATAATTTGATACACAAAATTCAACAAACTATTACATATAATATTCCATCTTTTCTCTCTTTTTCATTGCAAAGCTCTCTTTTTTTAATCACTACATCCTAATTTTTTGAAAAATAATTAGTGATATTCACGCGACACTCAACATGCCTAACTACCATATATTAGGGAGAAATTCATAGTACCTTAGGTAGGAGGAAGTTTTTGTTTTTACATCATAACAAAAAAAATCTTGCTACCTCCTCCAACCTACTGCAAAAATGTTTAGAAATATCAATTGTCAACCAAGCAATCAAAGCTATTAAAAGTAACGTGTTTCTTTGTTCTTTGTTCTTTTTTTTTTTTTTCATTACAAAGTTCTTCTTTTGTTAATCATGACAACCCAAATTAAAAAAAAAAAAAAAAAACTAAAATATTTGGACTATTCATTATACTATTCACACACTCACAAAATATTATTTATTTACCATTCACTTGGACTCATATGCATTATACAAGAGAAATTTTATAATACACAAGAAGTAATTAGTGACATGTACAATAGTTACTCCATAGACTTGCTTTGAGGAGAGAGATAAACAATAAAAAAAGAGAGAGAAAATTAAAAAAAATTGAGCGAATGTGAAAATTTTCTTATCACTTTTAGTGGATCCTGGATGTAATTCAATGTGTCTATCTCTCTCCTTAAAATAAATCCATAGAGTAACTATTATACATACCACTAGTTATTTCTTATGTATTATCAATTTTTTTCTGATATTGCACTTTAGTCTCTAATATTTTCAAATTTTTATTTTGGTTTTCAAATTTATTTATGTTGTAATTTGGTCTCTAAATGTAAAAAGAGAAAAGAAAAAGGTCATGATTGGCTCCAATTTCAGCAATCTTGCATTCATATTATTTATCTTAACGAGGAGAGTATGTTTATAATGGTTTTAAGTTATAAAATAATGGAAAGATGTAGATCGAAATCTTTAAAAAATTTAAAAAATTTTTTAAAAAATATAATAACAAAAAAAAATGATAAAAAAGAGAAAGGAGTACTAGTAAAACAGAGAAATGAAAGAAAGAAAGACAAGATAGAGAGAAAAAAACTTTAATAAAATCTCATATCTAATAAGAACTATTGTTAACCAAAAATCATTTTAATAATTAAAACATTATTCGATACACCGATTATGTTGAGACTTAAAATGGATATTATGTTTAAACCGACGTGTCCGTCGATGAAGGGATCCAGGTGATTGGTTTAATATGATATCACAAAAAAAAAAAAAACTTAGTTTGACATAAAAAAAAAAAGATAATAAAAAATATTAAAAAAATAAGCTTGGACTTTCGACTAGAATTAATTTTGTCAAAAAAAAAAAAGAAAATTTTTAAGAGATAAATTTTGGGACTAAACTAGATGTGAAACTTTTATTAGGAGATTATTCTTTTAAGTGATTAACATCTTTTCAAAAGCATAATCAATTCTTTATTTTAGAATTTTTGAATCAATGTCTATTTTAGATTTTTAATTATTTCGATACTAAGTCACGACTCTTAGGATCAATAATAACTCACATCTCTATAATTAAAAAAAAAAAACCTAAATTTATAAATTTTTAGAAGTATCATCAGATGCCGGATAAAGATATATACCATAATGATTTATATCTACGTCCATTATTTTACCGAAAAATAACAATACTATATCCCAAAATGCAAAAGACATGCTTAGTTTCGAAAGGTCTCAGTTCAAGTTCAAAATAAACAAATAAATAAATAATTTAAAGAATACTCGCAAGATTTATGGTTCAGAATCACTAAAGCATTGAGGACACGTCGTTTGCTACCCTTTGATATTTCCAACTTGGAAATCTTTATCCTTATTTTCTGGCCAGTCGGCTAGTTCTAGACATTTTCTCCACTCCAAAAATCCTCACCATCACCGGTAGGGTTTTAGCACCAGTACATTACCACCACCCAAAACCTCACCACCACTCATTCCATGCATTTCTACCCCTAACCCCCCGCCCTCCCAAAATGAGCAGCAACGCCACCAAGTTCCTCATGCTCCTCACCACCGCAACCACCACTCCTTCCCCACTCCGTTACCCATCTCTCCTCCGCCTCACACGCCACCACTCTCATCACATCCCCTCATCTCTCTCCTCCCTTTCCCACCACCACCTCAACCTCTTCTCTCACTCCCTTCCCTACCCTTTAAAAATCAATTCCTCCCCTTGCGACCACTACCACCACCAACTCCACACCTCTGCCCATTTCTCTGATTCCCCTTCCCCTTCCACTTCCTTTCCTTCTACTTCCGGGTTCTCCCACCCCTGGCCTGAGTGGTCTAATTTTGTTAAAAACCTCTCCGTGGCCGGTTACTTTAATATCAAGCATGGTTTTAACACTCCAATTGATGAGGTCATCTCAGTTGACGATTTACCGGAGGAGTTCTTGCATTCTTGCACCGCTTCCTTAGCTTTCGCGCGCGATAAACCTCATGCTTTAGGGTCAGTTTTCAGTTATTAATGTATATGTAGTATTCATTTGGATTGATTTGTTCAGAGTTAGAGCTTGTGTTATTGATTATGTGATTCTTTTTGTTGATGGGTATTATAGGATGCTTTCGAGAAGAGATATTGAGGTGGTGGTTCAAAATGGGTCGCCATTTTTGTTCAAGAATAGTGACGATTCAGTTAGGAGGATGGAGTTGTTTTTGCACGGCAGTGATAGTAATGTGAGTGTTTGTGAAAATTTTCCTTACAAAATGTTCATGTTAATGTTCTTGGAGATTTCTATTGAATTTACTTTCTATAGGTTCTTGTGTTTGTCATTCTATTCATTGCGTTTTCATTTAAATGGAGGTTGAAAGTAAAGCTGATAAGCATGGAAGCTTGTTTATGATATAGGTGAAATTTAGATGGATGGATAGATGATTTGTTTTAATGCATGTTTGAATTGAAATATGATCACGCAAAAAAAAAAAAGTAGTGTACTTAGTTGAAATTTCAGGAATAAACTAATGTCAATGTGGTAGTCATGGCAGTTTAGTGATAAAAAAAATATATATATATATATGTAATAATAATAAATTATGTTTTTGATCTTGAAAGGTTAACATGTAGATTTTAGTGCTTGACTTGATGTTATATTTGTCAACCAATTGGCTTTTAGTAATCGAGGAAAACCATATGTCTGCCACAAGGTGAGTGCAAGGACAGAGGAAAAAAAGTGATTTTAAAACAGAGGGATAGAGAGATGGCTATTGAAAATTGATATTTGGAATTGAATGTATTAAATGCTGACTGCAATGTAAGGGTACAATATCAAGGAAGTGGAGTTTATTTAAAATGCTGTTAAACATTGTCTTTGTGCTGCAGGAACGAGGACAGTTGATATAGGCAGTAGTGTTTAGTAAAACAACCTTAAATTTGCTTTTACTCAATTGCTTCAAAACCTTGTTTACCTGTTATCAGAAGGCCCCATTTAAATTTTTGATATATCTGGGTTTGTTGGAAACAGTCTGTTTAAGTACTTAAAAACTAGGAAGCAGAAGCTTTGTGTCAGTGGATAACATTGGTGATGCCATCAAGTTTTCTACTTCTAAGGAAACCATCTGTTTTTGAGATTTCTATATACATCTGCATATAGGATTAGGTATTTCTAAATCTTGTGTACATTCTCCAGCATTGTAACGTTTCAATAGGTTGATATTTTCCTTAAATGTAGGTTGATGAGGCCACAAATTATGCATGAGTAGTTTCTGTTAACATATTGTTGGCACAAAATTCATTTAGCACATTGCACTTAGGAATGTCAAACAAAATTAGAAGGAAGGTCCTAGAACAACTGCAGTGCTGTCTTTCTGGTCTGATTAGGAAGCCATATAGTCAATAATTACCTTAGTGTAGAGTCCTTTTGTTCAGTGTTGTAAAACAGTGTGTTTCAGGCATGCTTAAGGTGCTAGGTGAAATTCAATGTTGATAGTGAGCGGACATCCATCTATTTTGATGTTGATAGTGAGGCTTCTCGAAGGCTAATGCCTTCCATGTTCTCAAGGGGCAACATTGATTGGAATAAGATTAAGTACTTTGAGGAGTCTCAGGAACATTTTAATGTTGTACTGAAAAGTGACAGTTCCTCTTTAAAATTTGATGTTTTCAAGATGGCATGTAATTATTCTGGGTGTCTTTAATGCACCATTTGAATTTTCAGTTTGTTAGAGGGGCGTTTCCTGAACTAAATTGGAACTGCATTTTACTTTATTATCTACTCTCGATATTGAGTATTATTCAGAATGAAAAAGGAAGAAGAGTCCTTAGTGGTGATGTAATATGCAGATGATGGAGCTTTTTCCTATATTCTATCTAAAGGGACAACAGAAAATTTGTGATTTACTGCCAAGCTCTAGTGCAGGTAAAACTGATTATGAAAAGTGTTCTATCCATAAAAAAAAAGGTGCTAGATGGCAAAGCTGGGGAGCCAAAATTCTTGTTTTTCTGGAATTGGCTCTGCAAGGCTTGACAATTATATGTAATATTTTTTCAAATTTTGCAACTAGTTTTCTCCTGCTATTAACTGCCCTTAAAAAGAACTAGATCACAACCTTCTTCCATTTCTTCTCTCCCCCGCTATAGTTATGCATATACATTCTCCAAAGAATAGTGTCCTGATTGGATTTTCTCTATTTAAGAACCATTTTGCAGATTTCAGCTCTTCTATCTCCCATTATAAAGGTCAAAAGAACTGTTTATCTCAACTTCTGTAGGAGTCTTTGAACTTGCAATAGCCTGCATTTTTTTTTCTTTTAACTATAATAGCGTATAATGAGTTTCAGATTAAGTCTTGTTGCTGTTGTGTTGTTGTATAATAGCATGTAACTGAATGAAATCCTATTTTCACGAAAGATGGCTTTGTAAAAGTCTGGCTAAGGGCCATGCTTTGTAGTTGTTTTTAACATTTTATGCACCAAATCAAGTAATAATTCTCTAACCATTTTTAGGTGCCTATGTCTAATCTGGACTCCACATTCTTGTTATTTTTAAATGTCAGGTGCCAAATACTGATAAAGCACGCACATTGGACCTGATGAAGTTTTTATTGAGTTATGCCAGCATTCTTGTTTCTTCTGAGAAGACCAATCTTCTTAATGCACAACTTGTGGAGTCTTCTGTTCGAAGTCTCTTCACTGAGTTGACCCAGCTGGGCTATAATGCTGTGGAGACAACCCTGTCTGGGTCATTCCAAAATCAGTTCCCAGATAGATATGGACAAACACCAAGGCCTCGTGGGCAAAACATTGAAATGAAAAGAGGCGACTGGATATGCTCACGGTAGAGTCTGTTTAATCTTCTTGTGTTATTTTCAACTTGTTACCTTAACATAATTTGTTTGTCTTGGAGGATCATACTTCATGAATGAAGAGAAAGATACTAACTCAGATATGTTTCTCATTGTTGTGATCGCTTGATGATTTACATTTTGACTGCCATCATTATCGAGCAGGTGTAGTTTCATGAACTTTGCTAGAAACCTGAAATGCCTTGAATGTGATGAACGACGACCCAAGGGGCTGCTTACTGGCGGAGAGTGGGAGTGTCCCCAGTGAGCATTTCTTCTGTTACTTGCATTTCTACAAGCTTGAAGTTTGGTTTGTCGTTGTTTGATTTATGATTTGAGGAATTCCTATCAACTTTCTCTTTTGCAGATGTGATTTCTACAATTATGCAAGGAACATGGTATGCTTAAGGTGTGATTGCAAGCGATCAGGAGGTGTTTCACCTGTTACCACCAGCTCTAGATCAGATATGGGATATAGCAATGGGAGCTATGCGAATAAGAGTGATCTAGTTAGCAGGCTGGCTGCGAATGAAAAGAAGGCACAGCAGTGGCATAACAATGTTTCTCAGATGGACAAGTCTTTGGACAGGAACAGTGCCTTAGCGGATGAAGATTTTCCTGAAATCATGCCATTGAGGAAAGGAGTGAACAGATTTGTTGTCAGCACAAGGAAGACTCCACTGGAAAGGAGGCTGGCAAATTCTCAATACCAAGAAAACACAGGTACTGATGGCACCCAGGAGAGTAATGATATTCAAAGCACTGGTACAACCAATCCCCGTAACCAAAATATGAATCGGAGCCCGACTTCCCAACAATTTAGTGCCCCTAGAGGAAGCACTTCCAATTATGTTCCATTTGTGCCATTGCCTGCTGACATGTTTGCCAACAAACCTGAGAATTCAAAGATGGAGGAGGGCGAGAATGTGGAGGCAGACAACTATGAGTCTCTTACTTCAAGCAACGGTGAGCAGAAAGGTGTTATTTCTGAGCAGCAACCCTCCAAGATTTCCATGGACCAGACTCTGAATGATGATAATGAGAAAGAACTGGCTGAAAAATCAGAGAGATGGTTTAAGAGGATTGCGGAGTTGCATAATGTCACTGATCTGACTAGTGCAATTTCAGATGAGGACTTCCCTGAGATCATGCCATTGCGTAAAGGAGAGAATAAATTTGTTGTTAGCAAGAAGAAAGATCGGTCTCTGACTTCTCCAATGTACAAGAGACGGACAGCCATAGAGCAAGCTAACAACACCAATTCTGTACCCTTTGTCCCCTTCCCTCCAAACTACTTTGCTAAAAAGGATAACCAGCAACCAGATGATGTGGATTCCCATGATAAAGGTGTCGGTGAAACTTTCAGTTCTGCAACTCCGGAGAAGCCTCCCGAGAAGTTGGATGATGCTAGACTTGGGGTAACCAATGCAGCTCAGGAGGGCAATACAGGGAGCTTGTCTGGGGAGAACTTGAGTGATTTAAAGGAAGGAGCCACTTATGGGGAACCAGCTAGTGGAAATTTTACCCAAAATTTTATTGATCCCCAGCCTGCTAGCAGGAATAATTGGAACACTGGAAACTACAGGAACACGAATGTCACTGGGACATCAAATCTAATGGGGAACTCAGTGCAAAACTTCAATAATCCCCCATCAAATAGCAATGACAGTGAGAGTAGTGGATCCTCCTGGAAAGAGAATATCAGTGAGAAGACAAATTTAATGGGAACTGCACCTCAATCATCTAAGAATCAGAATGTAGGGGATAGCTGGACTGGAAAGAGCTTGGAAGGTTCGGCAGTAAAGGAACCAGATCCTTTGGACATGTCTGAAGAGGCCAAAGCAGAAAGGTGGTTCCGACGTGTTGCGCAGATCAAGGACATCTCGGAGCTCAGTCAGATCCCAGATGAGGATTTCCCATCAATAATGCCAATGCGGAAAGGAGTGAATAGATTTGTTGTGAGCAAACGAAAAACACCATTGGAGAGAAGGTTGACATCTACTCAGTATAGAAGAAATCTTCCAATTGTCAGCTCTGATCCAGTGAAGGAAAATGACAGTAGCTGATAGAACACCGGTTTCTGCTACAATTTTTGAATGTGAAAGTCATTATTTCTGTGAATGGTGCCTCATAAATTATCATTAATAAAGAAAAGAGTCTCTTCTTGATTCTTAAAACACACTGTTACATGTTATTTGTGTCTTGTGCTGTATTATAATTTGGCATCGGAGGATGTACCTACTGGGTTATTGGGATGGACCCAGACAAGCCTGCGTTTTATCTGAACTCCGAAATATGTTGCAGTCTCGGAATTGCAGGGTTCAAGTGCTGCTGCCTTCTGAATTACAAAGGTTACGCACAAACTGTTAAGTCTAGCCGTCGCATAATGCTTGTGTTTGGTCTCTGGTTGCGTACAGGTCCGTCTTTTTCGTTCGAAAAAAATAAATAAAATTCACACTAGAGAAGATAATTCTGCGATTTCTAGTTGGCTCCACTCTTGTGGTAATTTCTCATTTGCATAGCGAATTATCTTTAATAGAGAAATTTTATAATATATCAAGAATAACTAATAACATATACAGAGATTACTTCATGAATCCACTTTAAGGAGAGAGAGAGAAACAAGAGAGAGAAAATAAGAAAATTTAAGCGGACGTAAAAATCTTATTATTACTTTTGGTGAGTATGAATGTAATTTTTTTTTTATCTTTCTTTTCAAAGAGCCTATGAAGTAATTACACGTACATGTCACTACTTACTCTTAATATATTATAAAATTTCTCATCCTCGATGCAACAATTGCATCACACCTGCGCATTAATGCCATATTAATAGGTTAAAGGTGGAAATATCTTAATTAGTTCCCAAAATCCCCTTATATATGCATTGACGGATTTTTGTATAAAATTTATTTTGCAAAGGGGATTTTGGTAATTATCTCAAGTCATGTGATAAGGTTTGTTGTATGGTGACATTTAGACAATCATAAAAAATAAGGCTATAAAATGTAGACTCGATACTCAATTTTCTTGAAGGTAAAAAAAAAAAAAAAAAACTAATAAAAGTAAAAATTAAAAAATATATATAATATTAGTCTTAATAGTTCTAGTTAAAGGAGTTGGTTATACAACTAGAAAAGATCACAATCACTATAATATGTTATCGCAATGAGGTTATCTTGTATATCTAATTTAACAAAATTTATTTGTGCAAATTCATTTTTTTGTTAATTTTTCTATCCGGAATTGTGAGTTGATTGTTGAGTCTTTTTTAACCAATTCTAGAAGTAGAGTTTTGAAGATTAAAATAAAACTTATTCTCTCACCCGAGTTGTCGCTAGAGCTCAATTAAAAAGGTGAAAGTTAGGCCTTAAAGTGCATCCGTAAATTAAATACACATATCCAATAAAACAAGATAAAATAAAATAAAATAAATTTAGACCTTCAGTCTAAGTTATTTCGTTAAAAACAAATAAATTACATGTTCAACACTCGTTAAGAGAAAAAAAATTCAAAATAAAAGAGCTTTGAACTCAAATCAACCAGCCATATCACTTAAAATTAATGAAACTAGGCATAGGGTCCAATAATAAATTTAGAGTTAAATCTACGAGGCAAAATTAGTGGTGGAGACAATATAAAAAAGTAATAAGAAGAAAAAGAAGAAGATGGAAATACCATGTCATTATAATAAAGTTGGTCTCATATTCTAAACTTATTTATCTACATTGACCTAGATTGAAATCCAATCAAATGAACATGTTAAGTGCAAAACATAAGTAAATCAAAATCGGACATGCGAGGACTACGGATCATGTACGGATAACCGCACAAAAATTAAAATAGTCAATTAATCTCTACAAGATCCTTGGCCTATTGATTTATATAGGCCTATCTCAATTTCATGAACAAAAAAAAAAAAAAAAAGTTAGTCTATTGCTAGTTTCATCATTGACCAATAGTTTGTTAGAAGCTTTTTATAAGAAAAAAATTTATAATATGTTTATCATCCTTAACCTCTAATTATTAATAGAATAAAAATAAAAATTATAAATCCTAGATGCTACATATCTCAAATCCCAATTAAATCTAATTTTAGGCACACAAATATCACACAAGTTAAATTCAAAGCGTTCTAAAACGTCAAATAAAATTAAGGACAAAAATTTAATTATTTGCAATTAAGCCGTTTATCTTTTAATCGTAAACTCAAAATTCATGTAAGACCCACTAATTCATGAAATAAAATCAACAAGGACACAAAAATCATAAATCAACTCAAAATCAAACTAAATATTTAATCAACAGAGTGAAAATCAAGGGATGAAGGACTTAGTTACCCAACATAATAGAATAAAGACTAACGCGTAAGGAAAGACACGAAGTAGGGACCAAACTAGATAGAAAAAGGTTAAAAAAAAAAAAAAAAGAGGCAATAGACTTGGCATGTGGGAGGAGAATGAAAGAGGTGGACCGAAGCTACTTGCCACGCATGGCTGGTGGCATGCCGTCCAAAGAAGGTCACTCTGGTGGCGGTGGCTTCATCTTAACCATCTGATGAAGGCCTGACAAGTGTCAACCTTAAAGCTTAGAACATGGCTGCATCGATAATGTGTTCTCTTTTTTTATATCAACATCCATCTGTCTGTTTTTTTTTATAGGGTTTCTATCCTGCGTGTTCATGTGTGTAAGTGTGTATGCTAGGTAGTATATCTGTAGTGTGTACTTAAGTCAGTCATACCAGGGTTTTCCTCCTTTGATTTTTTTTAGATGCTTAACCAAACAGACCGATACTAGTTTGGTGATGATTTTAAGCAAATTGAATCTCCCAAGTCTTTTTTTAGTTGTTGTCAAATTGACTTCTTCAAGTTGCACAAAAAATTCCAGCCCTAGGTTGATTATGCTAAAACTTCTCCAAGCAAAGGTATCATTAACCTTAATTGATTTTGATAAGGTTATTAAAACTCCACTACAATCTAGCTAAATGCTTTAACTTTTTAGATGATACTCGATGAGACTTAAAATCCTACTACATTCTTAGTTAGTTTGCTTGATCGATAACACCACATTGATTGATCAAATTTAAGAATACGTAACACAAATCCAAAACAAAAAATAAACACACATAAATATTGAGAGAAACTTCTCAAAATTTTATTAATCAATAATCAAATTTGTTTCTCTATATAGCATAAGGATCCTATTTATAATGCCCATATTCGACCATCAAGGATAACAAGTCACTATAACAAAAATCCGTTATAGTAGGCGGAATGTTTGAGGCATTTAAAAAACCGCCAAAGGGTTTAATAATTTTATCTACACATTCGCTTATCCATAAATGAATAAGAGGCGGTTGATAAAACCGCCTCACTTCAACCAATCGCCCAACCTACACTTTTTTCTCTTTCTTTTTATTTTCCTTTTGGAGTTCCGAAAAAGTAAAAATAAAAACCGCTTCATTATTTCGCCCATCCCTTCGACTTCTATACATGTTTCGGATCTATGTTTTTTCTTCCTCTTTCAATTCGATTATTTCATAAGAAAAGCACATTCCAATTGTGATTATTTAGGTTTTCTCTTCTTCTTCTTTTTCTTCAATCTATTTTATTAGGGTTCTTCTTCTTCTTTTTCTTCTTCATTAATCTCAACTACACAAATCCGCTATTAGTCTAAAAAATTCACCCAAGTTTAGAAAGAATCGAAGCAACGGGTTGCACATCATTGGAAAGAGTGTTAATTTCATTCAAAACAAGACCGAGATTATTTGTTATAGGGTGTCAAAATTTAATCGAGATTGAAGGCATGGAAGATATGAGAATAGCCATTTTCTTAAGAGATCGCCACAATTTAGCATATAATTTTGAGGTAATCAATGTACTCGTAAAAATAGTTTATCTCGGGTTGTTTCATTTTCTTTGGATTTAGACTCTAATTAGTTTGTGATCGATGTTCCCTTTTTGTTTTTCTTTTTTATGGGTTCTTAAAATAGCGAATTATTTTCTTTTCTCATAGGTATGTCTTTACATTCTTGTTTCAATAATGTGTTCCTTTTGGGCATTTAGACCGCAAACACTTGCTATAGATTTGATGGGTTACATTTCTTCACACAAACGATACTCAAATGATGTGATTTTTTTCATATCAAAAGATATTGCTTCGTGTTTCCTCCGACTTGCTACTTATATTTCCTTTGCTTCGAATTACCGCAATTGTATAATTTCGGCCATATGTTATAATATAATGTGGATGCTATTTTGCGAGAGATCACCTTGAAAGTTGACCTTTGTAAAACGAGAGGATGCTCTGTTTTTTTTTTTTTTTTTTGCAAGAGTTCGTGTATGGTTTTTGTTACATATGTATATTATATTGACATTTGGTTTCAAAATAGAGAAAGGAATGAAAAAGAGGGGAGGAATTTCGAGAAAGCAGCTGGTAGAAGCCATATTGCTTATAAGGTATTTTACTTGAGACTTTTTTTTAATATCCGCCTTCATTTGGCGAAGCCATGCTTAAAATTAACTACGATCCGGTGTTATTCATGCTTTGTGAAAGAAAACCAGATTTCTTTTTATATAAATTCTTGATACCGTATGAAAAACATACATAATATAACCATGTTCATATATATATATATATATATATATATATATATATATATGTATAATGTGTGGTCGATGCTAGTGAGATTTTTTTATGAGATTTACGTAGTTTCTCTTGCAAAAAGAATGAATTTCCATGTAATATTTGATTTAAGTATTGCCAAGAGAAATTCATTTTTGTGTAACAATTCCGTATATTAAGGCTGGAGTTGGATGTCGTGATGGATGCCGGTGTGAAGGATGCTACAATCCTTATGGAAAAAAATAGGTGACATTTTACTCTACCGTTTAGCCATTTTCGATTGGTTTGATTATATGCTGAATCAATATCTTAAACAATGGTTTCGGCAAACAAGAAAAGAATACATCTCCCGCCATTAGAAATAGAACTTGTTGAACTAATTGTACCTAGATTTTCTTTTCTTGTGTATATGAGATTCAAACTTTAACGGACTACAAAAGTACTACAATGATATTGGAAAATTGTAGGCTATGTCAATTTCGAGATTGATTTATTAAAATTTTCTTGAAAATTCATTTTTTTTTCAAATACAAGTTGAAACTATTACATTTCTTTTGATAATTGCATATTCTAATATCTCCGAACCGTTTCAAGCATACAAGTTCAGTGGAGAACAATGTCCAATTATCGGTAGTCAAATGCCTTCGTTAAATGCATTTCCGAAATATATATGGCCATTTATACAGCATTGTTACCTCTATAATTGCGGACTTGTACTTTGAAATGTTTGAAAGTTTAGAGCTAGAACATTTCTTTTCCGTCATTGTCAATAATTAAAGTCTTAAAATGTCTATCAAGTAGTGTAGATGCCCTTCGATCACATGCATTGTAGGGCAACCGAAGGTCTAGGCATCTTTAAGATTTTTTATATTTTGTAGACTTAAATTGATGGCAATTGCGGAGGTCGTTGAAGTTTGTCGTTTCCTCGTGGAAATCCTTATTTAGATTTTAAAATTATATTGAAATAGGATTTCGGATAGAAACTTCTTTAGATCAAACTAGGAATATTTCTTTTGCCCCTTTTCTAAAGTCATTATCAAACCGACTTCTTCATGATGATAAACTTGTAGAAACAATCTACGTAAGAGCCGAAAGGTGGAGTAATCCATCTCGGGAGTAGCAGGATAGTTTGGAGAGTCATACCGACTACATTAAAGCCGAGAGACCTAATCAATTCTCATATAAAAAATTACATGGTACATTTCTCATATATATATCTCACTAGCATTAAGGATAATAAAAAATTAGAAATGTACCATGAAAGTTATTATGCCATTGATAATTTTAACCATTAGTCCTTCAAGCATTAGTCTTTAGAATGTACTCGATTTATTTATTTTTTTAAGTTCTTTTGTCAATCAATTATAAGTTCTTGTAGTACAAGAGCAATTCTATACTCCATCATTTGTTGATCTTTGAAAAATACTCGAATGGTTTTATTCTTGAGGTACATAATTTGATCCTCAACCAAGGAATCGACTATATGACAACTCGGAATAAAAGATTAGCCTTAATAGCATCAATTGTTATATGTTGTTTCGAGTTAAAAGAGATTTACACAGGAGCTATAAGAGAAGTCAAGGAGGCCTTGATTATAAACATGCAACTTGGAAGTTAAAGACTCGCTTCTTTCATGGGTTTACTTGAAGAGCCTCATGAGAGATTATGAAAATCGTCATTTATCGGATAAACGAGCTTAATGTTTATCTATTAGAGAATAGATATGGTGTGCTTGGTTAAAAATGAGAAATCATGTATTTTCTTTTATTTACTCTTTAATTCAAACTCATTTTGTATTCATAATTATTTTGAAGAGGAATGAGAAGTTTCAAGTCTTCACATCATTCGAGTATAGTTCAAGCTCCGTTGATTGGAAATCTAGATAGATTGTGCTCCATCATAAAGCTATATATCTTTTATTTGGATTCAACAATGTTTAATTTTAATTTTTTTTTTTTGACAAAAAAAGAAGAAGAAGTAGAATTATTAGATTTGAAGGGTAAAAAAAAAGCCTAAAATACTAGAGGTACTCCTCCTAAATTATTTCTTCATATTAAAATATAAAAAAGTACAAGAATCATTCTTCATATTAAAACATAAAAAATCCCAAGAATCTAGAGGTGGTTACCAACCGCCCCTATGTGCTAAAAATTAAAATAAGAAAAATTGATATAGGGGCGGTTTTAACCGCCTTAAAAAAATTATTTTGAGGAGGTTCAATCGCCTCTAGCAAACCGCCTCGAATTCCTCGACGGTTGGTAAAACCGCCTCTATACTCTAGAGATGATGGCATTGCAGTGCAGTCTTGAGACGGTCTTTAAAATCGCCTCTAGAAGATAAAAAAATCACATGCAATATCCTTTTTTGGTGTAGTGAGTGCTTGTTACATTCGGCCATCGAAGTCCCATCCACACTCAATTAAGACTATTTAATTTTATCTCATACAATATAGACCCTTTATAACACAAAAATGTTCCTTACAATCATGGCCAAATGCCAAATGCTTCGAGTCTAATGTTGGCCGAAAGTTTTTGGTCATTTATCTTTAGTTTTATGCTTTGTTCATTTAGTTGAGATTAGATTATTATTGTTTTGTGTTTGTACTTGGGTTAAATTATTAAGTCCTCATTGATGATTTATTTTCTTAGTTTTAGGAGGTGGTCGAATATGATAGGGATTGAGAATCTTTTTTGTTTATGGATTCCTATCATTTAGGAAAGGGTTTTAATGAGTTTTTATAATATGTGAATCCATAACAAATTGGACTAAAATAAAAAATAAAGCCCTAATTAAATATGGCTAACATAAATCCATTATTGTTCGGGAAAAGTGTTTGGCCTAGGGAAGAATTTCTACTCTAGCTATTCGAATTCTTCTAGGTGTTAGAAGTAGTATATAAACATATCTCATATATCTTTGTAAGGGTTTTTGCTTGAAATATTCAATAGACCTATCTGAATTTGAAAGCAATAAAGTTCAAAAGATGTATTGTTTCAACTATTTCTTTGGCTAGGACTAGAATAGGATTACTTGGAGCATATTCTTGGAGAAATTGCCTAAAGTAGGTTGAAGATTATTGTATGCAAAAGCTTAGTATTGCGGTTTCAAGACATTTTCACATATTTACCCCATAAGTACCTCTTACTCTACCTTTGTTGGGAACTTGGACTAGTTATAGGGTTTGATAATTTGGCTTGCATAATTTTATAAATAATAGATTGACTTGCATGACATAGCTAGCTTTAAACCTAAAAATTACTTTCGGAAATGTATCTCGTTTAGAAGGGATAGGGTTATTTGTTAAGGTTCAAACTTTATAGAGATCTTCTAATGGATCTGAAGTGGTTGTGTATAAAATTTGGGAATATTTAGAGTTTTCTTGAGGGGTAAACAACATCAAATATCTTGTCGTAATTTTGGAGAGTGTAAAGACAGATTTGGATAAGGATTTCAGCATCAAACACCTTGCATAGGACTTTGTTTGAACTAAATTTTTTCATGCTTATACTAATGTATGTTGGGTAGGTTGTGGTAAATTTTTAACTCATTTGGACAAGTATAACCTAGGGTCCATCCCTTCTCTATTCGAGCTGTTTAGGTGTCTTATTTGATAAATTTGATTTTGCTTGTTTGGAATTTAGATGAGGATTTGATTGTTGTTGATTTGTAGTAGGATTGTTTTGTTTTTTGGAGATAAAGTAGCCTTGAAGGGGATTCTATCTTGTGTTATTTGGTTGAGCGTTTATAGGGCTCAAGACATCACATTATTTCGGCATCACTCTAAGTAAATTTTACATATAAAAGATTCTCTATGTTAAATAACCTCCTATAAAAAGATAGTTCTTTAAAGAAATTAATTGACTTGAATCAAATAAGATAACCTAGATCAAACAAGATAATTTATCTCAATTAAAGAAACCCAAATAACGAGCTTAGATTCAGCTCAACTAAACAAAAAAAGCTCTCCACCTAATCGAGGTTCGAACCTTCGACCATGTTGAACTTTTGGGCCACACTCTTTTATCAAATACCTTGGGTTAAAGAAAACTCGTTTTCAATGTCTTTATTGTCTTCTTCTCCTTGATAAGATTGTCTTAACCCATTTCAGAACCCTTTTGGAAAAAAAAATACAAATAAAGAAAAAAAATTGGAATGGTGCATGTTTTCCCGATTTTTGAATAATTTGTTACTAATTTTTTCAGTTTATTGCATGATGTAGATTTTTCTGAAGTTTGAAAATTATATTAAAAGTGACATTGTTTATTTTTCTCAATTTTTGACTTAATTCCACCTTCATTTATTATTTTTTATTATTTAAAAAAAGAGAGAAGAAAAGAAAAAAGGATAATTGATTAGGACTCAATTGAATAAGATTGAAAAGAAAGAGGGTCAAAATTAAGAATAATAGAGGTGTAATTGAATGAAATTAGAAACGGGGATTGAAATTGAGAAAATAAAAATGCATGGGTCAAATTAGAAGAAATTAAAAAGAAATGATGACTAAATATGAAGAGATGCCAAAATCAAGGGATAAAAAAATTGCTTAAGTGAAATGGCGCGTTTCACTTGTGTTGGTTCACCAACACACTTATTTCTCGTTTCTTTCTTTCTTTCTCCTTCTTTTTCCGCCCACTTTAGTTGCCATGTTCTACTATGTTAATGGAGAATTGACAACTCATTTTCTCCCATACGTTATTCGTCATTTTAAATATGAAGTGCAACCGTTACCCCTTTCCTTGGAGTGAAAAAATGAGAGAAAAAGGTCATGAAAAAGCTTAACCTTCTTCATCTTCCTTTCTCTTTTAGAAAGACTAGCTCTTCATTCCGATTGGATAGAGCACCCTATGAGCTGTGATAAGCTTGAAAAACTTTGACCAATTTCTTTCTCTCAGCCTTCCACAACCAAAGATTATAGGAATACATCGGAAAAGCGTGTAAAAAGAACCAAGTCAGCAAATGGATAAATAACAATAAAAAAAGGGAAGAGTGGGTACTTACGTCGAGGATAAGTTATATGGTCCTGTGCATTTAACAAGATAATGAAATGTTCAAACAAGGCTCAACATCCCTAAAAAAACAAAGACATGTAGCCACACAAAAAAAAAAGGAAGCATTCTACCCATCCTTATCTCTAAATAGGGCATCCCTCATCCGTAGTTGCTTTTCCAACAATAGAGGGCATAAAGTCCGACCTTATTGGACTAAAGGTATTTATAGCAAACTCCTTACCTAGATGTCTCATAGTTAGAGAAGTTTTTTTACAAGGGTTGGAACCCTTCCAATTTGTGGTCCACTCGGATGGAAGTAGGTCGAGAAACCGATGAAATGCTCAGCTGTGGCCTAATGAACCTCTCTCAACCGGGACCATAAGATACATCTTTTGCCTTTTCACCAATCTAGTTGTACCTCATTCTAACCCCATCTCTCTCTAAAGTTTTATCTCTTTCGGGTAAATACTATTTGAGTAGAGAAAAGAGGATTCGATGATGAAGAGAAAAAGGAGTTTGATGATGAATCTCTAAACAACTTTTCATCCTTAGAGGAAGTGAAGATAAATTCTTTGCTCGAGTATAAGTCTACCAATTCTCTCATGAATCACTCTCTATATGACCTAGAAGGACTAACTCTATCAATAATAAAGTTTGTAGCCCCCTTAAATTTAGCCGAATCTTCAAACCGATTAGCTCTTCTAAATCGACCTCATCGGCCTCTACAAAGTAAAACAAAGAGTTGGCATCAACATATGGAAAAAGAAGTAATAAAAAGGTTAATCTAACTAGCCTTCAAACTTTGGGCTACGGTCCATCTCTTAGTCAAAATATTGATCGTGTACATCTCATCCTAATCCTTTATTCTCCTTTAGAAATTCGAGATAGCATCGGCTTGAGAGTATGCAGTTGTAAATGCAATTCGTGGTCTTTCAAAAAAAATCACGTCTCCATACTTCAACCATATCATCTAATGGTAAAAATTCCTTATACCTAACCACAAACCACTATTTCATTCACTTCTTTATATGGTCGATCATAACCATAATCGACCCGATAATGTACTTGACTTTCTATCCAAGAAGGTGTAAAACCGAGTTAATACTTACCTCCTCTCGAACTCTCGGTTAGGAGAAAACAATACTTAAAAAGTCTAAAGGTGGGGGTAACTCCAATCGCTTGCAAAATCTCTTTAAAGTGGTAATGGTGGCCTAGCCATTCGGGTACATTTGATCGATATAGAGATTGTGGTGACAAAAAAATTTGCCACAAACCCGATCGTGGAAAGTTTGTACTTATTATATGAAAAGATGTAGATGGGAAAGTTCATCTATGTATTGCCTTTTCTAGCCCCAGCTGGTTTTATGTCGATCCTATCATGGAGACTCGGGACCATAACATAGTACCCATGCCTTAAACTATCGTTGAGGGTAGTCGATCTCTCAAAGAACACCTCACTAGGGTAGTCATCATCGGATTGATCCTTAGACGCTCGCATTCGTCGCGTACAAAACAACGATCTCTTTCTTCAAGTTATCCTCCCTTATCACATCGCACCTATGGCTTGGGACGAGCCTTAGATTTAGAGTTCGCTTTGCTAAGATTTACCATTTTCACTCTTAAAAATCTAGAAAAAGATGGAAATAGGGGTTTACCTAGCAAAAAATCCTCTAATAGACGAAGAAGACGCAAACAATCATAAAAGTGCTCTCTTCTTTCCAAAACCACTAAATCATTGGTGATTTTGCTCTAAGAAAGCCCGAGATATCCTACAAAGGTGTTTAATGGTCGAATATCCTCTAAAATGCCTTAACAAGTCTCTCTCTAGCCATAAATCACCTTAGTGAGTTTTGAGAGTGGAAGAATAAAACGAAGACTCGTAAAATGAAATAAAAGAGGGTTCAACCGCCTTATGTAGCCCATAAGTCGACCATTGGCCTCTCTAATGTGAGCACAAGTTCGAAGGCAAATGTGATTAAATGAACTCGATTGTAACAAACCGTAGATGGAATGAGTGAAAAGACTTTTTGATCATCCTAGATGAAACACGTGTCTTGTACAAACATCGAAGATACCTAAATACGAGTTCAAGTCTTTATAAACACATTGCCCGAGATTCGAAGAACAACTGGTATATCTAGAAGATACATATACACATTCGGATTAAACCTAGGTGCACATAATCTCACCAAGTGCTAAACTTGGGCAAACGTTCTAGCCACTACCGAGAGAAGATTCTTCGGCAAGAAAACTTGCTCTGTCTCGACCTAAAGACTCGTATCTATCCTTTTCCTACTAAAAGGAAAAATATTACATCTATTAAATGACGACATACTTTCAAAATTATTGTCTACCCTACATACAACGATAATGACATCATCATATTTGTTCAATAGGGAATTATCAAAATATTTATCCCATAACCGATATTAGAGATTGTTAACGTCAAATGAATAGATAATTTTATCCCTTTTTTTAAGCAACTTGACGAATCTCATGATTACATAAATTACATGAGACTTAAGATTAAGAATTTTGAATTTATTCAATTCTTAACTATTGTTTATTTTCTTCCTAAAACTTGCATCGAATCTTTTTAGACTATTACTTTCATTTCTTATATTGACTTAACAATCGAAAGGTCTTCTACCTAACTAGGAAAACTTGTTTTACAGGTATTCTAGTTGTCTCAACCACCACCATTCAAGTGAACACCATTTTCAAACCACTTGTGAAAGAACTACATCATCATTTGAGGTTTTACCATCTCATTCCATGGTGATTGTGACAAGACTATTCCATTGAACTACCGTTGCAACATCAAGAGCATGGTTCTAGAATTAGAAGTTAACATCATAGAAAATGCTACACATGATTATATAATCCTTAGTAGGAAGTAGGAAGAAGAATTAGATTAATGGTCGTAGAGTTTCCTCTCGCTCTTTCTTGTTGTCTCTATAGAGTGCTTTTATTTTTTATTTTTTATTTTAAGTTCATTTCACTATGTTTAGTTTTTATCTTAAGTGCGTCCCCCGATTATCATATGAAATCACATTATTAATCTTATAGAATTGTGACATATGTCAATTTTATTTTATTTTATTGTGTTAATCTTGTCTCTCTATTCTTTTTTTCTTATATCAAATTTAAATAAATAAATAAATTTTTGAAAAAAAATTAACTAAAAAAAAAAGTTGAAGATATAAGGTAAAGATAAAAAAATTTCTATCTAAAATAGCCTTTATGGGTTTAAATATATTTTTATGATAGTAAGTAGATTTTGTGTATAAAATAGAATATTTAGTGCTTTTTTTTTTTTTAATGTCAAGAGTCTTAGTTAAATTTTAAAATTTTTGAATTTATAATTTTATAACACCTCAAAAAAAGATATTAATTTACTTATTTTTATTTTATAAATTTCTAAATTTGAACCAAAAGTAGAAATATAAATTTTGTTAAGATTTTACTTAGAAATATTCACTCAAAAAATGATTAAAAGATTATAAATACTATAAATATTTTATTTTATATTCAAAATTTGCTTACTATTATAGAGATAAATTTAAATCCATAAATGATATTTTGAAAAAACAAAAATTATCTTCACCTTTTTTTTTTTTACCCAGATATATTTTTACTTTTTTTTAATTCATTTATTTAAATTCAATAAAAAAAAATGGAAAGACGACAGGAAAAAAAATTAATACATGTTGCAATCAAATTGATCCTTCTGGGGTCTGCTTCAGGTTCTAGATTAGGACGTTAAGCCCGCCCTAATGGTCGTTGGATGGAAGAATCCATTGTTGTGAAGTAAAATCTGGACTACTTTTGTCGTGTCGGTGCTGTATCATAGGGCCATTTTTATTTGGGCTAAAAACTGATTTAATACCTTCGTAAACCATATAACTCACAATCACCCACCCACCCACCACCCCCCGAGGTACTTTAATCTAGCTAGGCTGATTTATGGTAAAGTAAAATTCTGTTCAACATTCATCCCTAAAAATCTCAAAATCTAGGATCAACTGGAGAATGGACACCAATGCTGGTTAAAGCAACTCAAGGAAAATTTTTTCCCAAGTTAAAAGTAAAACTAAGGTTACATTTCCCCAGGCTCCAATGCTTAGCAGTGTATATTCACGGGGAACCAAAATACCAATTCAGTCTTTTTTATTGAACCCACGATAGGGATGAATACCAATCGAAATAGAGGGTCAACAACATGTGAAGGATCAGAACTGGAACTGCATCTCAGCTGCGTATCCAAGAGCTTCAAGGTTAGCAGCCATGGCCTTGTTCATAGGTGGTGGTCCACATCTTAGAATCTGCAGATTGTATGATGGAAATTATTAGCATTTCTTGTAGAATTTCTCTTGTTATTCTTTTTCTCTCTCTGATGTCCCAAGACAAAAGTTAAAAAAAAAAAGAAATCAGAAACATACCTGGATATCAGGTGCTGGTGCAGGGCAGTAGGTTTGAATTATTTCCTTTGATACAAAGCCAACACCACCATCCCATACTTCAGGAGGCTGAGAAGAAAATATTATCCCACAAGACAGTTTGATTAATCAAACAGTCATCATTACCCATAACACATTAAACATGCATCTTTTAACCCAGTAAGCATGAGAACCGTGCTTCAGATAAGTGGCCACATGAAGCAGGACCTACTAGCAGAACAGTAGCAAGAATGCATGCACAAGCTTGCACAAACATGATCATGCCATCAGACAGAATCGTAATTCATCCACTTTTGTCAAAAAAAAAAAAAAAAATTTAATCAGGTTTTCATGGCCGTGTCACAAGGAATTTGCTTCAAGCAGCTAAGCTGGACAAGGAACCAATTTCTCAAAATAACCCAGTTCACAGGCACTCTAAGATATTCCATTAGTTTTTCAAGACACCATTTTTATATTTGACCAGCACAATCTTTGTGACCCAACAAATTGTGAACAGATTTCAATTTGGTTGGGATTGGGGGGAGGAGTGGATTATAATTTTCACTATACAGCCAGGCCTAGCGAGGACTCCACTATCCATTGTGTTTACAGAGGTAGCTTGAGCAGGGAAAAAAAATAATAAAAGAAATAAATTAGCAAATTGCAATCTTTAAGAACTTTTCTACACCAAGATATATAGAATATGAGTCTCAATTAGGAGAAAAGGAAGTAAAGCAAATGTATTAAGAAAATTGAAAGGAGAAACAGATATCAATTTTTTTGGCATAAGAAAGGGAACTAACCTGATTCAAAACATAGTAGACGTTGAAGCGACTAGAGTACCTCTCAGCAAGGGTGTCCAATTCCTCCTGCAAATCACAATTCAAATAATTTCGATACATTGACATCAATTGCAAAACAAAATAACAAATATAGCAAATTGCCAGAGTCTAACAATATAGAGAGCGAAGGCAGGCATATTATTGGGGAACAATAATATTCAGAAAGATGCAGACTAAGAGGTCCTCTTGAACCAAACAAATCCCCAAGAAGCTTTGACAAAATTTCTACAAAAGGAACTTATAGAAGTTTTAGGTTCGATAAGCTGACACTAATATCCATGTCTTAGCTTAGATGGTGACTTTTAGTTCCTCTTTTTTTCTTTGTTAATCTTTCTAGAATAATTTTTCAAAGGATTTGTATTTTTTGAAAAACTAACATTCTTAGCCAAGTTCTTTGGTTTCCAGAAAAGTTTCAGTTCCACAGAATTAAAATGCAATGAAAGCCTCAGCAAGTGGTAAATGAATGATGGTTTGTCATTCCCCCAAGTTTCTTTTAGTATAAACTAAAGTAGCTTTCGTTAGTGCCCAAAATTCCTGTTCTCATGAATTTACTTTTTCTAACAAAACAGTGTCAAGACAATATAAAGGATTTTCCTGTTTGAACATTTCTTTTCTATTTTTGCACCCCCTAGAGTGGCATAAATGAGCAAATGAGCAGCTAGGAAATCCTGTGAAAAAAGTTGCAAAAGTCCGGTAAGAGCACTAAAACTTTAGAACTTCCATTTAGGGAGCATACCAGATGCTTTCATGTTATTGTAAATTCTCTTAATTCTAACAAATGTCAGGAGTTCATATGGTCAATTTATATGCTGTCAAAAAGTGCTCTGCACCCAAAAGATATTTCAATTAGTTTCCATTTTGGGGATAAATGACAATAAAACTTGCCAGCGGAGATATAACTCCCAAGGTATTTGCACCTTATTTCTCACTAAATCTTAAAGGATGCCAATGGTTATTATGGTTTGTTATCCCACCAAATAGACGGTACTGCATGATATTCCACTCACTTATGGCACCATTTAGCCCAGCATAGGGCACATTGGCTCATTAGTTCAATTGAATCAGAGCTCCAACAGAGCATCATAAGAAAATAGACGTGCAACTTACCTTTAAAAGAATGTCCTCGTATGTAACATTAGCATAAATGAGGTGCACTTTCGTCTTGTCCTTGGGGTTCTCTAATATGGCTCTAGCAACCTGAAGTGGACACATCAAGGTACAGCATACATGTGATCACCAAAACCTTCTGAAAGGCAATAGCCAAAGACCATTGCATCCTAAGATACTACGAAATCAAAAATAGAATACAAATATAATATTGATAGCATACTTGAAACATTGGAGTAATGCCAGAGCCTCCGGCAAGCATCCCAAATGCTCTAACCTGGCCAGGTTGATACCTAAATCGCCCCTGTTACAATGAAGTTTCAAACACCAGAAGTCCAAATCAGATCATTATTGTTTCATCACAGTACTATTGCATATGCATGACCAACCATAAGAAATACTTGATGGCTGAACTTCAACCAACACCTTCACATGAATCCCATTTTCAGGAAGAAATTCCAGTATAGTTAAATTGTAGCCTAACAGTCATAGAAGAAACAGCATATGATAAGATTACATCAGCAGTTTTTATCATTCAATCAATAACGATAGGACTGTAAGGCATTGCATTTGGTGGATAAGATTGGATATCACACATACTAATACTGCATCTCACTTAACACATAGTGGAAATAGTAATGAAATTGCAATGCATGTATTTACTATCAGGTTGTAGTAATGAAAAAAAGAATTAGCATTACAAAGGCAAGAAAGAATCCCTAAGAAGTTGCAAACACTACCCTCCTTGTTTCCAGATCATGACATTGTTCTCAAAGAAAAACACTGAATTTGGTAAGAATTGTGAAAAGCTAAAAAAAAAAACCAAACAAAAGAAAAGATTTTGTCAGTTCATTTACAAAACATTTACCTTGGGTCCCTTGACAGCAAGATAATCACCAACTTTCATCTCTCTGAAATGATGGGACATCCTTCCTTGTGGATACATCTAATTACAGAATAATACAAAGAAATACAACAGTTACAAAGAGACAAAGCAAGTATCTATACTTAAGTAAACTCCACTAAAATCAAGCCCAGCGAAGGAAAGTTTTCTGGTATGTACCTTAATGACTAATTCAAAATGCCCAACATCAGAATCCAATGTAGTTGGCGTGTATGGTTTGATAACCTCTTCACCCTGACTATCCTTGCCCCTGTTCAATAAAGAAGCTATTAAAAAGAGTAAAGATAAAACCTACGACAACGTTGCATCATATCAATTAATACATTCGCAACCATTTGATTGGTCAATACTTACAACCAATTGATTAAGAAAACTATTGAGACAACACAAACATTAAGAATTCACGAAAAGAAGAGGAAAAAACTGAACCTGCAACTTATATGCTGTCCAATAGGAAGGCCCAAAACAGAAGTCTGTGTAGGAAGTGCAAATGTGAACTTCGCCACATTGTGGCTCAACTGGACACGCTTCACAAGTTTAAACTGCTTGAAATTTTCTGGATCTAAGCAGCCTATTAGAAAAGAAGGAAAAAAATCAGTTAGTTTTCATAAAACACAAACAAATAAATTGATAGAAAGAATGAAAGTAAAACAAGCTTCACCAAAAGGTAGCTAAAATGTACAATATGGGGGGGGGGGGGGGGGGGAATGTGGGTGTGGTCTTGTGGATACAAACAAACAAAAGTACAAAAAGGCTAAAAGCCTATCCACTTAGTTAATCATGAACTTGAATCTAGGAAGCTCAGCTCGAGTTGTTCATTAAAACCTTATTCATGGGGGAGTTCCCAAGTTCTAGCTGTGGTACAACACTATTAGCTCTCCACGATCCATGATCAAGTATAAGTTTCTTTTACACAACCATAAGTCATTGTCAGAGAAACCACAGAATAAAACAACAAATCTTATATCACCTTAAAAGTAGTAGCTCAAAAATACAGAAATAAAAGCATGCAATTGGACCAACCATTGCTAAAAACATTCACATAAAAACCTGGAACAGCTAGCAAACTTAAAGAGCCATTCCACTTGTCACTATTTTAGAGTATAACATATTTAAGTAGCTTGAACTGCATTCAACATCAAGAAGAGAAATATAATTCTCAATATAGATACTGGAGATTTGGAAAGCCCAGAACCCAAAATTCATAGAACAATATCGAACTTAGTAAAACAATTCAATCTCCCTAAGAAACGCAACATAAATTCAATGAACATGCACAAAAAAAAAAAAGGATAAAACAGAATATAATGAAAAAGAAAAGCTAAGACCTTTAGGCTTTTTCGAGGAAAAGAGAAAGACAGCACCCAAAACAATGGCCACAACAGCCACAGCTACAGCAGCAAGAATCTCGACATCAAGTGTTTGCAAGAATCCTAAATCCATTTGGTACTGATTAGCCCAAAAGAATTCCTCAAGACAGAAACTTTTGAAGGGAGTTTCCAGGCAGGTGAAAAAAACAAGAAAATGAATATAAGAAACAGGTTATTTATCCTCTGTTTTTATTGGGCTGATTTGGTTTTTTTTAGATGGGCTGATTTGGTTCTTTACTAGCAGCTGCTATGGTTGCGCTAGATGTGACCATAAAAAAGTAGCTGGGAGGCAGAATCTGAAAACTTGGTAGGTAAGACCATTTGAGAGGTACGGACTCATTGAGGGAACTGGTTCACCAACCCACTTCTTGGCATCTCAGTGTTGGTTTCTCGCATTCTATCTTTACTTCTTACGCTTGATTTTCTTTTTTCTTTTTTTTCTTTTTCGATTAAGATTTTTTTCTTTTTTTTATAATTTATTCTTTCCGTGCGTCCTTGAAATGCAGCATATTTCTTATCGGATTTAATTAAAAAATAATTTTGCAGAATCTAGTAAAGTAATTTGCTTTCCATTAAAAAAATAAAAAAGTAATGTTAATAAAACCCGCAGGTTTATGATAATGTAAGCCCATTGTTTTGAGGGGTGGTCCTTGACTCAATGAAGTGATTTCATAAGGAAAAAAATCCTCAACGCAGCGACAAAAACAAGAAAAGTCGTGAAAGGACGAGAATGCCATGCCGTTTGGTACCTGTCATTGTCCCTAACCAACCTACACCTTCTTCTTCTTTTTTTTCTTTTTTTAGCTTTTGAATTCCAGTTAAAAAAAAATTCAATTCCGTATTTATTCTCAAAAAGAAAATGTTTTATCCTCGGTATTTTAGTTTTGAAAAATAAATAAAAAAGGCTATTTGGCTAATTTCAAATTAGGTGCGACTTTTATTGATTCATTTACCAAATTTGATGAGGGTTAACAATGTTCTATTTATTTATATTTTCTGTAATTTTTTATTTCATTGGTCGTTTATTGAAATTTTAAGACTAACATTCAATAACAAAATTAATATTAAAAAAAACAGAGAAAACCATAATATAAATGTCTAACTTTTTATTATTTTTCTGTTTGAGTATCCATCCTTTTATTTTATGTATTCGAGTACTTGATGCTTGATTTTGTTTTTTTTTTTTTTTCTCTATTTGAGTTTTCTCAATCATCTCAGATGGTGAAAATACCAACGTGGTTGGTATCCATTATACGTAATAATTTTTAACTGACTCATGACAAAAAGAGGTATCCATTGGGATTTATTAAGAAAACATAAAAATAAATAAAATCCTTTTATAAAAGAAAATAATTGTCAAGAATTTTAAAAAAAAAAAAAGTGAATCACTATACACACTCTTGGCTTAAGCATGGTAATACTTTACACCCATATTTTTTAAAAAATTACACTCTACCCTCTAAATATTTAAATATTATTTTAGAAAACACTATGTGTTTTGATTTTATAAACAAAAGCAAATTTCTAACTAAAAAATATATTCAAATTATTACAAGTTTATCATTAAATTTTAATAATAACCAGAATACATTTTTAAAGCATTTATGTCTTAAAAACCTAAACAATAATGCGCCTTAATCTCATTCTTCTCTCTCAACTATTTTTGAATTAATCATTTCTTATACTTAATTTCAACTTTAGCCATGACCTTATATTTTTGGTCACCATCATTTTCCTCCATTAACCACACAATAGTTCTTTTATTTTGTAAACTTAATACAATCTCATTAAGTTCTCCTACTTCTTTCTCAAACTAACTTATAATACCCCGAACCTACAAATAAATTAATTAATATATCTTGACATGCAACGTAATGATTTATGAGGTTATGCATTTACGTTTAAATGCATATACATGTCCAAATTATTAAAAGGTTTTTCTTTATGATTTTTCAACAAAAAAGGAAAAAGTTTTTAAGGTTTGATTATCCTTGACATTTTATTTGTTGAGGGAATTGGTAAAGGCCTCAACACTTGAAGGAATTGGTAAAGGCCTCGACTGAAGAAAATGGTATAGGTATTTCTTCGTCGAGGGAATCGATAAAGGCCTCAATCGAAGAAATGATAAAGAGAGCCGAACATATACAAACGTGTACATAATATACGTTTGGCGGGACGCATCCGAATCATGAAATAGATTTCAAAAAGGACATGGAAAGAATTTTAAGGGATGTTAAAAAGGGGATGGAAAGGATTTTAAAGTGCATTCACTTTCAAAAGTGCATTCATCGGTATATGGAATGCATGACTAACTTACTAAGCAATAACTCACCAGTTCTTGAGATGTAAGGGTGAAGAATATAGAGTGATGGTTATGTTTAGTCGAAGCTTATTACTAAGGAACTCTCCCGTCTTTTCGCCGAGTGTATCTTACATATAGCTGCAAGTTGGACCTCCTACATGTGATTATGCTATTAGTTCTCGATATTCTAGCATATGCACTAGGTATGACTACTTTGTTCTATATGATGGTAAAGGTAATAAATAAATAGATGGTTAGCTAGGAATAAAAAAAAGGAGAAAGTAGACTTATAAATAAATAAAAACACTTTTGTTAAGTAGTGTGGTACTAAGTCAGGTTACCATGTAAAAAGAAAAATAAGTTGTTTGTCAACCAATTTTGGACACGTTAACTATGTAATAAAATAGTAGAACGTAGTCGTAGTTTCTATTAGTTTAATACTTGCATAGTACTATTTGATAATAATGATATGGGTAGTCAAATAAGATTTATAAAAGATGACAATCAATAAAGGAAAAAGGTTAGGCTATCAACTAACGAGTACCAACTAGATAAATTTATTCGACTTAAAGAAAAGAATTTGACAAAACAAAAAGACATAGATCAAGTTATTTTGGTCTAAGATATTAAAATAGCAAAAAATTAATAGTGCATTTTGGACTCGAAATTCGTAAGGAAAGTTGGACCTATTAATGATTTAATAGACTTCCACAACAAAAATCAAAATTAATAATACAATATAAAGGTCATAGAGCCTTGTATCTTACATTAACCGTAAGACACAATGATAATATTCTTGACCTATTAACCCTAGGTCGAGGTGTTACATGACTATTCTTCACCTTTTCTTACTTTTTTCAACACCAATTTCATTCATTTCCCTCATCATTCCCTAATATCTTTTCTCAAATTCTCAATTTCTTTCACTCTCTTCGCCAAATTATTCTCACTGAACCTCTCAACCTTTTAAGCTCTATAATTTCTTTCACTCTATCCTTCGTTTCTTTAACCAAAAGCATATTGTTTCTTCAAATCTATTTCTTTATCTCCCTCTTTCTTTTTATCAACTCAATCACTCTATCTTCTAAACCATTTGTCTCATTCATCTAATTATCAACATCACTCTTCAACAGATTTCTCACGAAAACCCGACTCGATCTATTTCGCTCGATTTCAACACTCACTCGTTAACCCCTTAACCTCACTCTTCAAGGCCCTAATTTCATTATCTTTCTCTCTCTTCTCTCTCGCTATACCATCAACAAAACCACTCATTTCAATCATTCGAGTCTCAATAAAAACACAAAACAACTAATTTTCTATTTTTAAACTCAATCTTTTGTTATTGATTTTATCCAACTCGCTCTTTAACAACTTAGCCATCGTCGACCACATAAAAAATGAAAACCCAAGTTTAGATTTCGTGTTAAACCATGGATTTGTGGTAAAGATTGGAACTTTAGTTATAAACACAAAGCTCATAGTGAAAATGATTAGTATTCCGGATGATTAATGAAGATACCCACAAAAATCATTCCATTTATTGTACTTACCTAATAAACAAATATACCTTAAAAAAATCAAAATAAAAACCCAAAACTCAAACCTTCCTTCCCCTATTTTTCTCGTTTTCTTCCATCAAGCATCAAGCAAATGGATTAATGGTTATCAAGGTCTCTTTACTCTTTCTTTTATCTTGATCATGTCCTTTTACTTTTTTTTTTTTTTTGGTCTAAATTCATCCCTATGCATGTGATTTAGTCTTAAGTTCGTATTTTGGTTAATTTTTTGAGCTAGTGATGTTAAAGTTTTTACACCGTTAGCCTCATAAGATTACGACATGTGTCAAACTTATTTTTTCTTTTCGTCCCTCTATTTTTTTTTAATGAAAAAGCTAGAAAAAGATAAGATGATAAAAATATTTTATACAAGTTTAAATTTAAGTTCATCCTTCTATCAATTTTTTAAGCTAACATTGTTAAATTACACCGTTTGCCTCACAAGATTGGGACATGTGTTAGGCTTTTTTTCCTTTTCATTCCTCTACTCTCCTTTTTTTTTTTTATAGTAAAAAATTTGGAAAAAAAAGGTGATAAAAATATTTTATATGGGTTTAAATTTATCATTGTGATAGTAACCAATTTTTTAATATAAAATAAAATATTCATAGTATTTTTTTTTACATGTCAAGAGAGTTTTAGTTAAAATTTTAAATTTTTGAATGGTATTTACAATCTTTTAACCACTTTTGAGTGAATATTCTTAAAAAATATTAGCAAAGTTTATGTTTTTACTTTTGAGTCAAATTAAAAAATGTGTAAAATTAAAATAAGTAAATTATAATGGACTCTTTTGAGGTATTATTAAATTATTAATTTCATTAAAAAATTTAAAAATTTAACTAAAACTATATCGATATTTAAAAAGAAATACGAGAAATATTTTATTTTATACTCAAAATGTACTTACTACCATAGAGATAAATTTAAATTCATAAATGATATTTTGGATAAAAAAATATTTTTATTTTCTTTCAAGAAAGTTCATCTTTAAATTCTAGAATGTAAAATGTATTTTTTAGAAAATAAAAGTGTAAAGTATTAGCATGCTCAAAACACAATGTGATTAGAGTAATTTATGTAAAAAAAGGTTTAAAATCAATTACTCTTAACCGAATGAACTCGAATTGTTTAGATGATTTAATATTAAAACTCTTGAACTAGACAAAAAAAAAAAAAAAAGATAATGATAGTTTAGAAGTATTTTAAGAAATTAATCGAGCAAACTTGTCAAGTTACTTCGACTAACAATAATTAATTTTGATTTTTTTAATTCTTGCAAATTATTTTCTTTTATAAAAGTTTTATGATTTTTTTTTCTCAATAAATTTGAGTAAGACCTACGTTTTACCATGTATGGGTGGATCTCGACCACGTCAATAGTCTCAAGTGACATAAAAAAGTCAAATAGAAAAAAAATCAAACATTGAGAACTCAAATAGATTCGAGTTAACGGTAATTCATTTTGATTTTTTTAATCTTGCAAGTTATTTTCTTTTATAAAAATTTTATGATTTTTTTCCTCAATAAATTCGTGTAAGATTTATGTTTTACCATGTATAAGTGGATCTTGACTATGTTAGTATTTTTCAGTCTCAAGTGATCGAAAAAAGTCAAATAGAAAAAATTAAATATTGAGCACTCAAATAGATAGAATAAAAAGTTAGACACTCAAACATAAAAATAATACAAGGTTAGGCACTCAATTTGAAGTTTTTTTTAAAAAAAAGTAACCCCCCAAAATATTAATAAGGTAACTCTTTGATCATCAAAATAATTTTCAAAACGTGTGTGTATATACACACACACTTCATTCCTAATGGATCATTCTTCACATAAACCAAAAAAAAAAAAAAAGGCAAAACCCTTAAATTTATCTTTGTATTTGTGTTGATCATTCATTTATTCCCCTGTATTATTAATTTAATCAATTAATCTTTATGTTTTTATATATAAAAAAAAATTGTTCAATTAACTCTTGTTCTTTATATTTATCCAATTAATACAATAGATAACTTTTGTCAAGTACTCTCAATGTTAACTACGCATGCAACTATGATATTTTTAAATACATTCCATTTGCGAGATAATATTATACATTCATATAAATTGTGTTAGAAAATATATAAAATATAAATAAATCTCGCCATTTGTGACTTATGTTAAAAGTCATTTAGAGATAAAAAAATAATTAAAAAAATTATTTTCTAAAGTTATTTAGAGAAAGATAATGGTTCAATATTTTAACGAAAGCCAGGGGAAATAAATCTTGAAACAAAACTAGGCCAAATCAGTATATAAAGAAAAGAGTAATGGTTTAATTACGAAGTTTTTTTCTCTCGAGTTTTTATTAAAAATTATTTTCAAAATATTTTCTAGGATAATTTATTTATTAATATAAAACTATCCAAATATAAAAAGCCATCTTATAAATAAAAAGTATAATTAGCATACATAGTTTACATTGAGACTTAATAGAAGTTTATTATTAGGTTAATTAGGTAGATTTAGAGAACACAGGGTTAATAAACAAATTTAAAAAACATAAAGATTAATCGATCAAATCAAAAATACAAGGATAAATATAAATAATTGATACAACCACATAATTAAATTTAGGTATTTGCCCACGAAAGAGCAATTGATTATTGTTAAAATAAAAATTCAAGGGAATTTATTTTCAAATTATGCTAAAACATGAAGGGAAATTTTCTTATATTTTAAAATATCTATTGCGATGCAGATACTTATTGATACCTCGAAGTTAAAGATTTAACACTTACAGCCAAATAATAATTTTTTACGATTATAAAGAAAAAACCATTTTTAATTAAAATTGATATTAAATAAATTTCGTAACATAAATCAAATGTGGTTCCATTAAAATCTCATAAATTAAAAGGCTGCAAGATAAAGAAAATTCATTTAGTTTTTTCATAACTGAATGGTCTATGGTTTGATAGGATATATCATTTAATGTAATAAGAACCGAAATTGAGGAAAATTCTTTTTTTATTAGAAAAATTATAATAATTCTTTTCTTTTTTTCTCTTCTGAAAACTAGTCTATTAGATTCCATTATATTTTCGATATATACAAAAAAAGGGAAAAGCATAATTGCCAAAGAAGGGTAATCGAGTAATTTGGTAAAATTCAAACCCAACTACCAACCAATACCGAGGAGACTTCAGCACCTGGTTTCCTCTTCCCACTTTCAAGTCAATATCCTAACGCAAGTGGACCAGTAAAGAAACAGGCTTATCTGCGTTAAGCAATGTCGTGGTGTTTTTGCCATCGCCACTCAACTTTTGCCATGTCAAAACCCTGTCTTGGCTTGATGAATATTCACGCCTTTAGGAGAAATTTGTATTAATCATTATTAGTATTTTGTTTTTAAATCTTAAACATAACTTTGTCTACGTTCCTTTTCAATTTCTTTTGTCTTTTCTATTTTGAAAAATAGAGAAAAGGAAATAGAAGTAGGTAAAAAGGAAAATTTTAATTAGGATAATGCATTTTTAAACAAAAACAAGCTATTACATTACAATTAGATGATTTGACTTGAAAACCAATAATCCGTGTATTGATTCAAATCAAATACGAAGTTAGATAGGTTAAAAAGTTGATTCGATCGAACTACGTTTTTCTTTGACAAAAAAAAAAAAAAGCCAGCACACCACGTCTATATTTATGATACAATATTATTTTAATATTATATAAGTAGTTTAAACTTATAGAAAATTTTGACAAAAAAAAAAAAAAAAATTAGTTGCGACACTCAAAACCATACCCTCTTTTCTCTTCATATCACCATTACCAAGTTGCTATGGATGCACAATTTATGTGCAGAGCCATTGGTCTCACAAGTTGACTTGCAATCCGATGATCTAGAGTTTTGGTCAGGACAAATCTTAGATTTGTGTTACACATAGTACTTCATTGACTATTTATTTTATGTTCATTCATTAGGAGCGATAAACATGTGTATATGATTAGGATTAACGGTTATTCACGATGGTCACTTGTGCTAGTTAGTTTGTTAATCAGTTAGCATTAATTGGTTATTTGTTAAGTCTAGTTTGCACTGTATAAATAGGGAGAGAATTATTCAGAGAGGCGGGCTTTGTAACAATTGATTACCTATTGAATATAATAGCAGGTTACTTCTCTTTCTATTTTTCTTTCTACTTTCCCTCTTCCCCAATTTATAAGGTTCTTGCTAAGGATTACATGACTAGAACTTAACAATTTGGTATGAAAACTTATGCTAAATTGAATATAGTCAATGTTAATGTTAGTTAAGAGACGATTTAATTATTTCTTTTACTATAGGATTAAATAATTATTTTTAAAGGAACCGAGATAAAACTAACTCAATTTTTTTTTATCTAAAATTTGAATCCGCTTATCAAAACCAATTTCAGTGGATAGCATAAGGGTGCTGGTATTGGAGTAACGATCTCCATGTCTCATGAACATTCTAATCTTGTTCACCAAAAAAATAAATATTTTTAGTTTTGGCAGTGCTTTGATATGTAATATTCTCCTCTTCAGATTACCTTAATGTCTTCTGCTGCTAATGGAGTACTTATCTTCATTTACTAACAGATTGGAAAACAGGGGTCAAGAATAGACCAACATTGTTAAACAACATTAAGCCATTTATTGTAGTTTCTTTTTTTTTATCTTTTTTGCTCAGAAGCATTAAATTGGAAAAAGTTCCCTCCAAATTATAACTTGGCGGAGTAAAACCCCAGAATAGGCTCTCAAGTTTTAAACAAGGTTCAAGAATTTGCAATTCGTCTAATGAACTAAAATACGAGCAGCTAAAGTTTGCTGATAGAACACTTAACCTGAATCTTTCATAGAAAACGAAGCCTAATTTATGAGGAAAAAAGACTAAAGATTCAAGAAAAAGACTAACTTTATGAAACCACAATGATTGATAGCCGACATAAATAATTGTATGAAGAACCATCAGACGCAGCACTAGTCCTCACTCAAACGTATAAGCATGCGATGTCAATTTTCATCAACGTTACTGATACACATGAGGGTAGGCTTTGCATGACCAGTTGGAAATTGGAATGGCACTGGTAGGTAAAAAGAATTTCAATATTGTTTTTTGTATGCCGGTTCTTGGTAACTGAAATGTGACATTTTCTTTTGTATGTAATGTAGTCATTGATCTCTCAAAGAAGTTCCCAATTGCCACTCTTTTTTCAAGGACAAACAACGCTTTGTCTAAGAAATATACTAGAACGAGGGGCAAAATTTTCACCTAGCATCATCTTCCAAACAGAATTCTGTAGCAAACGAGGCCCATATGTGCTCTAGATTTTGTGTAAAATCCTTCTCTCTACCGATGACCACAGAAGTATGATCAGCATTTGAGATCATATTAACTTCTGCATCAGGTACCTTCTTCTTGATGTTATAGCTGCACTCAACCGGGACAACTTGGTCACAGTCACCTTGGATGACACAAATTTTTACCCTGGACTTGAACAAAGTTTCCAAGAAGTTATCCATAAATTTTGCTCCTCCACATATCACATTGTGCATGGTATGCCAAGCTGAATGATGGGTGTGCCTTGTCAGGTCCATGATCCTGAAATCGAGATCCCTGGAAAAGGTTGAAATGACAAGTAAGACCAACTAGCTGCAAGAAGCTACAAATTTCTGTGCTTGCTCTACGGATTTTCATGATAAATCTATGTTACCTTCTCCAAGTTAGCAGCTTCAGAATCCTTTCCCATACCCTGTGGTTTCGGCAAAATAGCAAGCAAACACATCGACCCAGGTGCTCATACCATGACATAAATGATGATCCAAATAACATCGGTGGCCAAATTTTCCTCTCAGCAAGTTTCTGAAGTGCCATTAAACTTGCCTCTTCTTTGGAATTTATTAAGTACGGCTACATTGTTTAGGTAAAAGAGGGTGTAAGACTAAATGGGGATGAAAGATTGAAAAAGAAAAGGAATGTTCAGGCATCTTTTGAAAACTAAAGATAAAGGGAAACTAGTTTCATCATAAGTGAAGTTTTTAAGTTGACATTTTGAGTCACATATTAAAATTTCACTAAAAGGTAAAGCATTTAAATCTAGCATACAGATGTTATGAACTCACCGGCGCTACAAGGGTTATCGATTTCACCTGTTTTGAGTACTTCACAGCTAGGGCTGTTGCAATTATGCAGCCCATGGAGTGTGCAACAAGATGGAAGGACTTCAACTGAAATGAATTAATCACCGACTTTTCAATCATTTCTAAGTGATCCCTTAAAGTGTATAAGCAGTCTCTTGGCTTAGGGCTTCTTCCAAATCCCAAAAGGTCAACAGCAAACAGTCTGTAGTTATGCTTAACAGATTCAGAGAGATTCGGAAACACTGTTTCTGTCCAAAATGAGGAAGAAGAGAGGAACCCATGTAAGAATATTACATTCTCAGATGCATCTCCACCGCAATCGTCATTTATAACTGTTCAAAATGAACGAAAACAACATTAGAGATCATTTACACAAAATTCCAAAGCAGTAATAGATGTTGCCACCTGATCTTGACTGAAAACTATTTCCAGTTCTTGAACTTAGTGGTGGAGCCAGTATTGTCCTGGAGCATTCTGGCCGATGAATTAAACTACCCAAAAGATTGATCATCAATTGACTCATTCAACAACACATACTTCGAAAAGTTCTGTTACAATCAACCAGTTAATGACACTGAACTAATATTTTAATTCTTCCAAGACAAGAGGAGAGTGATCAAATGAAGTATCAAGGTTACATCTCCATCTAGAATCCACTTAAGGAGTTAGAAATTAGTATAGCGGTAGCCTTGATACTTCAGTATTGAGCTGTTTTGCTGGGGAAAAAGGAACACAATCAATTCCTTCTAAACCAACATGGGATCTATCTATTGCACAATGATTTCCAGTCTCTGCTCCTTATGTTCATTGGAAGTTTGACAGCCTGAAGCAAATAGCTGGAATTACTTCATACTTTCAATAGGTCTTATCGTGACACTTGTAGGGATACTAATGTGCTTGAGCTCAGTAGATTATGTTGCACCTAGAACCTTCGGGTTCAGGATACATAAGAAAAAACAATCTTGGGGCCACTAAGATCAATACAGTTTAAAAGGAAGAACTCTGAAAGAGAAGTCACTGTGATGTACTCATTGAATGGGGAGACCACAAAATTTTAAGTGGATGGAGCCTCGAAACCAAGAATTCCACAAGTTGGTATCATTTCCACAAGTGAGGCTCAAGTTGCTTGGTGAGAGAACTGGACGACAAGAATCTGAAATTCAACAACAAGAATGTCCTTTAGAGGGGCTGCAAGAAATGGTCCACCTCCTTAATCCTAGTTTGTGAATTAGCTTTCTGAATTATGCGTATTACAAACAAATTGACATTAATAAGCAGAAAATGTCCTCTTCCCATCTTTCGTATCTGGGAAAGAAAATCACAAATAACTCAACACCATAAAACCAACAATTAAAATTCTTCTGAGGCTTTCTAAAGCTTCGATACATTTACCAATGTCACGTGGGCGTGGCGCTCAGTTTGGTTGATTAAGAAATAAAAATCAAGACAATAATTAGTATTACGAAGTTTCCCTTTTGTGACTAAACAAAATGTCTATTTCACTATTAGGAAAAAATTCTATCTTCCTTTCGTTTCACAGTAGACAAACTAGTTATAGTTTTTTTGTTTAGTTTTTTTTTTCATTAAAAAAAAAACTAATTGAAGTCTTGCATGAGCAATTCAATGAACAAAATAACAAATTGGAAGAAAAAAAAAGGTTCTGTTCTAGAATTACCTCTTGAAGGCTCTCTCACAGCAACATACAGTTTCTTGTCACGACCTTCCTTCATCCAAGAAATGCAGGTCTCACACCCACAATCAGACCACCTATTAATCTTTCCACCACCACCACCAACACTACCACAGTCTTTCTTGCATTCCTCCCATTTTCTTGCGAAACTAAAAATTCCCATTTGCCTAAACACATTTTTCCTCCCATACAAGGTATCTGACAGCTCAATCTCCTCAGCGTCTCCCACATCCCCCCTTGCCCACTCTTGCTTTCACAATAACATGGAGAGGCCTTTCCTTCAAATAACTCATCAAGATGTCTATATATTATGCAAAGCAGGAAATCAAGGAAGTCCAGAAACAGGAAAACAATGAAGCTGAGTGCAGAGAGAATGTTAGTGGCAGATTTGCTTGCCCATTTTATTGGAGAAAGTGCAGGAGGAGACATGAAAGGAAGCCAGAGAAGGTGAAAGAAATTTCTAAGAATCGATAAAAAGGGTGGGCAGGACACGTACGTGGGGTTGAGAAGCAATGTGAAGCAGAGATGAATATTGAAACACGTAGCCGGTGAGAATCTGAAAACAAAAGTTGGCGGTGTTTGGGAATCTAATGGTAGAAGAAATGGACAGGCAGATTCTTTATTGAAGTTTTGGAGCAAACGCAACTTTGTTTGTTCTATTGGTGTGCATGTCTGCGAGTTAATTATAAACTAGTCTCTTCTTCTTCTAGAAATGAATTAATTAGTATATTTTTTAAAAAAACTAATTATTTAATCTAATATGTTTGATTTTTTTTTAATAATTTAGTGTTTTCATCAATTTTTTATTAAATTAGTAATTTTTTGAAAACAATTGATATTTTTTATATATTAATTTTGGCAGTGTTTTGGAATCTAATGGTAGAAGAAATGGACCGGCATATTCTTTATTGAAGTTTTGGAGCAAACGCAACTTTGTTTGTTCTATTGGTGTGCATGTCTACGAGTTAATTATAAACTATTCTCTTCTTCTTCTAGAAATGAATTAATTAGTATATTTTGTTTTAAAAATTAATTATTTAATCTTATATGTTTGATTTTTTTTTTTAATAATTTAGTGTTTTCATCAATTTTTTATTAAATTAGTAATTTTTTGAAAACAATTGATATTTTTTATATATTAATTTTCTCATTCTCCTATTTTCTTTCTATCTTTTAAACAAAACATCAAAAGAATGTTAATTTGAAAAAAAAATCACTAATCTAATAAAAAAACTAATGAAAAAATTAAGTTATTGAGAGAATTTAAACATCAATGACTAAATAATTAATTTTTTAAAAAATTAATTAATTAATTTCTCTAAATAAGAGGGACTAATTTATAATTTACTCGCATGTGTAGATATACTAATGCAATTTGGCATTAGTTTAATTTCCGTGAAGTAAAGAGCGCTTGCCAAATTCGGTGTTTGGCATTTTGGCAAGCGGTGATCACTGGACTAAGCTCAAATTTATACAAAGGGATTAAGCCACCGGCCCACCTAAGAGCATCACGGTCCACTATCCTATTCGCCATCTAAAATTTTAAGCCCACAAATTCGTCTCCTGCTCCTTCAAAGGTAGACGGTGGATGCATGAGTTAGGTGATGATTGATAAAATTAAAAATTAAATAATAAATTTGTTAAGTATTAAATAATTAGTATTGGATATGTGGTTGATAAATTATTTGGTATTTATTAAAAATTAAGTGTTAAATATAATAAGTTTATTTGATAAATATTATTGTTGAACATATTAAAGCTATATATATGATAATTTTAACCTTGTAATTATAATATGATATTTTTTAACATAAATAAAAATATATATTTAGATATATTTGTGTGTATAAATAAATAAATAAAAATTCAAACACCCCCTTGTTTTTTTTTTAATATTTTTTTTTCGTTCTTTATCTTTTTTTTTTTTTAATTCGTTTATTCATTAAACAATACCGTTAACACCATGAGATTAATAACCGAACATATGTTTAAGAGAGCATTCTTTTTCTTGTAATCGCTCATAACTTGAAGTTATGGTAGCATTTAGCAAACATGAATCCTGTGAGACGAGGTAAAAACAAGATTATGGTGTTGTTGGTATTTGCACGCGCATGCTCCTGCCATACCACTGAATCTTACCACCCTCCCCGCTTTAGGATAAAAGAGATGAGTGACGCCACGCAGGAAAAGAGCGATTTCACAGGTAAAAAAAGATCAACGTGTGGAGATTTCTTTACACGTGCCTCAACCGAATCCACCGAATCTTCTCTTTTTTTTTTTTTTTTTGCCATAACGTACCAAATCACAAAATATTAAAATAAATTGTAAATTAGTTATTTAGTTTTACAAAATAAATTAAATAATCTTTCTCATTTTAAAAATTAATTAATTATTTTTTTCCTATTTCATATTCTTATTAATACTGGTTAAGAAACCAATTAATATGTTTTTTAAAATTAAATAAACTATTGACTTTGTTTATCAAAACTAGAATAATTAATTTATAATTTCTTCCAAATTCTTACAAACTCTACTTTAGAAATTAAAAAAAAATGAGGACAGAAAAATATTTATAGACGCTCAATTTTTGTTAATCTCTCAACAACTCGGATAAAATAGTATAAGTATCCAAACCGCAATCATAATCGGGGATGATAATTTGCTCCATCTCGATGGAGTTCCGTCTTCTTTCGGCTCGGTCAACATAAGGATTCCTCAAGTTGATTGGGGGACGAAGCAAGGCGCCCCGTATTTATTTTGAACGGGGATGGAGCGAGGGATGGTATTTGCCCACCACGTCCCGTTTGCTTTGTTTTATCTTTGAAATTACAATTATATTCTATATAAAATCTATGAATACTAACTTTTCGATTTTTTTTTATATGAATTATCATTTTTTTTGTTATAATTTGAAATTTGATAATAAAATGAGACGAAATGAGATAGAAATAAAAAATTAAATGAAGTATCGGTGTCTCATTGGGATTCCTGTCTCTGTTTGGGATGAAAATTATATGAAAAATATTAACCCTTTGTAAAACACAGGATGGAGATGAGGCAAAATTTTGAAGAGTTAGGCTGGCGGGATGGCCATTCCTAATCCATAATCATTTATCAAAAATTGACACGAGAGTGACTGCAAGCATAATTGGTATACCTAAATGTCTAATTACTACCTGCTTGATAGAATTCTAACAAGGGAAGTGCCTTGCCCGTTCACGGAAAAAAAAAAAAAAGTTTAGTTGACTTAGGCAGATCTTATTGTTGTGGCAGCCAGCACCTCCTAGTAATTACATTAGTGGGATGACAACTGATTTTAAGAATGATGGATCAAAATCTCAACTGTTTTGCTTTTCTTGATTTAAAATTATGGTTATCTTAATCACAGGACTACTAACCTTACCTGTTTATTTATTTTTTGTTGATTGACATTTAATGGGTTACCTAACAAGCACATACTATAGTTCTCTAGTTTAAATTTCCATATCCATGGTTTCACACAAATCGATGCATATAGTAATTATCACTAGCAAACTAGGCAGCTTCAATAATAAATTTTGAGTTGGATGTATGCTGCCAGCTTGATTCCCCTTAAATTTGTGTAGTAACGATAAGATCGTAGTTAGTAGTCCATTTTTAAACAAATATTGGTTTGCAGATCGTCTTTGGAATTCAATTTTTGTGATCATTGTTTTTTAAAATATATTTATATAATATTTAAAATCGTATATTAAAAAGTGTTTTTTAATAATTTTTTTAAAAATAATTTGGGAATACGTAAAAGATAATTTAGGATCCTTCTTGTTAGTACCGAATCTAAAAAAATGAAAATTGTGTAGTCACGTAAGCAAATGGCACAACAATCCCCCACTCAACTAACTAGATTCATAGATTTTATTTTAACCTAAGATTACATCGAATTGATTATGCATTTATTTGGAATTTACCTCTCTCTTACGTGCACACACACGTATATATGTGCGTGTGTGTGTGTGAGAGAAGATCTAGAGACACGTAGTTATATGCAACGTGTAGGTTTTTTGGAAATGGATCAAGAGGGTCCCCACTCTTTTTGCACAAATCACTAGGATTTTATTTGGAATCATGTCTCATTTTTCAACTGCAAGAAACAGATTTTGATTCTTTTAAGAAATTGAAAATTATAATAGAATCAAGCAGTTGCACGTTACCCAGCTTTATCCGTATCAGACGATGGTTTTCTGCCTCAAAACTTGGGCGTGCTTATTCATGTCCTCCTTTTTAAAAATTGTTATTTCATTATATTATTTTTAAGTAAATAATAACTAGTGCGGTTGATGAAGTATTTTTGTTCTTAATTGAAAAATACATAGAGGAAAAAAAAGAGAGAGAGAGAAATATGTCCCTTGTCATTCATTAAAAAGAATTTCTTTTTTTTTTTTTTGATAAAGAAAGGCATTTAAAATGTAAATATAAGCTCCTCGATTTTGTTATTTCTATTCTTTCTCACTCTTATAAATAGAAATAAGATTAATTTATAAACAAGTATTATTTTGAAAGATGGGAAAGATGCATCCATCGATTCAACAATCTTTGTCAAAATAGAATCACAAGCTAACAAATCATTGTCGATCAATCGTGTTATTATTATTATTATTATTAGTTTTCAATTGAGTGGTATTTTCATATTATTAATTTTATGTAAATTAATATTCAGATTTCTCGAGATAAAAAATACCAAGTGAAATATTAAAATAATACAATTACCATTGGATTGCTGAAAACATTGTCCGAGCTATCTATCCAATGAATGGTAAATTAATTTTTATTTTAAATTTGAATTATAAAATTTTAGTTTTTAAGTAAAATTTTCTATGTACGCTTTCTTGGTCTTCCTATAGTGGCGTGTAAGCTGGTTTGATTTTTTATATTCAGACAATCCTTTTTGTGTTATATTTGAGTTTAAATCTAGGGGTAGAAACCTTCATCAATCTTCTATCTTTGACCAAAAAAGAAAAAGAAAAAAAAAGGAGAGATTATTTAGTCCAAATTTTCAAAAGTACCTTCCACCTAAACCCAGCCCAATCCAACCACGCTACCAACCCCGTTGACTGTTTATCGAAACCCAACAAAATGTCAAGCTATATTGATAATTACTTTATTTAATATGGTTTTGGTATTACATGAAAAGTTATGTTTCACTATTTTACAAATTAAAAAAATAAAATAACAAAAATCAAATTATCCGAAACGAAACTGCTTGGCTAATAATTTTACCACTTATAACATAGGTTTTTTTCTTTTTTCTTTTTTTAGCTTACTTTACGCCTACAATAGTTTGTCATTCAAATCCTGAAGATCATGATTCATGACTACATAGGCTAAGTTGTTATAGAAATCTTGTGATCGTGATCTGAAAATAGTTTCTAATTTCAAAGTCTTCCTCCGTTTTCTTTTTTGGTCTTGCTGCTACTTTGCAATCAAAGACAAACTGCAAATGATTTCCCTAAGATTGACTAAATAATTTACCCAAAATTTTCATTTATTTTAACATTAGGGTATTTATGAATCTGTTTTTGTACATGGATTTTTCTCGCGACTATATATATATATATATTTAAAAAAAAAAATCTGTTTGTTATCCTATCCAAATCTTTGATTACTTTAAAAAGCTGAAATTAATAATCGCATTTATTGTAGACTAGAAAAGCAATAAAATTGTATCAATTCGGATTGCAAGATGTAAAGTTGTAAAAAAAACTTAATTAAACACGAATTTAAAAAACTATCCGTTTCTATAAAGAATTTTGTTAGTCAGCAACAAAACATGCTAAAGATAAGAAGCCAAAGACGGAGTAAACTATAAATTAGTCATTTTCTTTTTGAGAAACTAATTAAGTTTTAAAATCTAATTATTTATTTTTTTAATTAATATTTATTATGATTAATTTAATATTTTTTATTTTATAAAATATGCTTTCTTCTCATTGATCTTTTCATAATTTTTATTTTTTTTATTTTTTAAAAAATCAAAATAAATTAAAATATAGTAAAAAAATAAAAATAAAATGATTGAGTTTTGAAAATAGAAAAATTAATCAATTTGTTTTTCGAAAGGAGAGGGATTAATCTGTAATTTACTCCCCAAAGAAGCTATGTCCCTTTACTTCGTAGAATCTGAGCTTTGCGTGTAATCCTAATCGATTTAAAACTATGACTATTAAATTATTATTATTATTAATGAACACAATGGTATTAATATAAATCAATAAGAGTAATAAAAACTCAAAACAGAATGCCATAAATAGCCCAAAAACAACTACTCCACAAAAAAACAAAAACAAATACAAAAACACAAGCAGAGGGAAAAGAGATGGCAAGAGAGAAGGGAAGATACAGCTGCAAAGCCCGCTTCTACGGATAGACCCTATTCCCACGCTAGCTCCATAGACTTTCTTTTCTTTTTGTTTTTTGGTTTTGTTTTGCACTCCAAAGAAAACTTGACAGAGAGAGAGAGAGAGAGAGAGAGCAACAACAGCAAACAACAACAGCCAATTTTGGTATGTGCTTGTTTATTTACTACGGTACGATTCTATACACAGTATATAAGAAACAAAGAAACACTCCTTTTGTTGTTTTGGGTTTTTCTCTATAATTCTTTGGTGGGGTTTTTTTTTATATTTTTTTCTCTTTTTGAGGGGTTTTTGGTAGTTTTCTATTGGGTTTGTGTTCTGAATCACATTGTGTGTCTTCTTATTCAGCTGATTTCCATCTTTCTAGCCAATGTAGGTTGAGAAAATCCATTTTGATCTGTTTTCTGCAGTCTAGAGGTGATTTGGTCTATTGGGTATTGGATGTTTTTGCAGAATATTGGATGGAGTTTGTAGAGAGAGATCTTTTAGCCAATGTCATTGACATCAATTTCTTATGGAGAATCATATTCGTAGGAATGTGATGTTTGATACAAGATATTGCTACTGATTCTTTTTTCTTTCTTTTTGTTGGATTATTGTTAGCATTGCAATGGCTGAGAAACACTCCTCATCATCCCTTGGGATTTTTTCTAGGAAATCTATGTTTTGCTTGTTTTCGTTCTCCTCTGCCCTGTTTGCGTTGTCTTGGTTTTTTGTGTTGCGTTCCACCGGCAGTGCTGGATTTATTGACCTTAGCTTGTTACCTCGTCCTAAGCTTAGTTCTGTGATTGATAATGGCAATTATGCATCCTGGAATCGCAATGATGTTGAACCCTCAACTGGAAATCAAGCACGAGCAATTCTTGTAGACAATGAAGGAGATGAAGGAGAAGAAGAAAAATCTCAAAAGGAAGATGGTTTAGGAGATGTGAAATGCAACAGTTTCGATAATAATTGCAAAGAAGTTCTTAAGGTTTTCATGTATGATTTGCCTTCTGAGTTTCATTTTGGACTCTTGGATTGGAAACCTCAGGGGGATAGTGTTTGGCCTGATCTTAGAGCTAAAGTGCCTGAATATCCGGGTGGGCTGAACTTGCAACATAGTATTGAATATTGGCTTACATTGGATGTTCTTGCTTCAGAGATTCCTGGCATTTCTAGAGCTGGTAGTGCAGTAAGAGTTCGAAATTCTAGTGAAGCTGATGTTGTATTTGTGCCATTCTTTTCTTCTTTAAGTTATAACCGATATTCCAAGGTGAATCCACACCAAAAGAAGAGCAAGAACAAATCATTGCAAGAAAAGTTGGTCAGGTTCGTGACTTCTCAAAAAGAATGGAAGAGGTCCGGGGGGCGAGACCATGTTATTTTGGCTCACCATCCAAATAGCATGCTGGATGCAAGGATGAAGCTATGGCCGGCAATGTTCATACTTGCAGACTTTGGGAGGTATCCTCCAAACATAGCAAATGTTGGCAAAGATGTGATTGCACCATACAAACATGTAATTAGAAGCTACGCCAACGACTCATCTAACTTTGACAGCCGCCCAACTTTGCTGTATTTTCAAGGAGCCATATACAGGAAAGATGTATGTTCTCTTCCTCTTTACAACTTCTGCTATTAATTGTTCTTTAAAATTTCTACTGCAACAAAAAACTTGATTTCTTTTTGACATGTTCTACTACTTAAAAATAAACTATAATTCGATAATTTTATCTTTACATAAATTAAAAACATGAACTGTCAGACTTCCCAGGTCCCACCACGTTATTTCCTATTCTGTCAAACAGGAGATTGTTTAGATTGGGATAATTTAATGGATTAGGTGTCAAAGTACATGGCAATTAGATGATAAGCTATTCTATTTTGAGGCATCTATTTCAACTCACTGAGTTTTTAATATGCATCCCTTATCGTGTAGCTGGTGAGGTAAAACCATTAGCAAACTTGAATTTTTGGCTCTGAAACTAGCATGGACTTGATATCTATGTAGTCTACTTCCCACGGGTGTCATGAACTAGCCATATGGACATGCATGGAAGTACATTTATGTTAACTATTCTGGGCTGCTTTCAAGGATGGGATGTGGTTATAAACTCAAAAATCACGAAATAATCTCATGAAACTTTTCCGCTATAATATCTTAATTGATCTTCATGATGTCATACGACATATTTGACTTGCTGAATGTTTTCCGGTAGAAAAACCTGCTTCATGTTCATTAGAATTTGAAAACTATCTATTTAAGATGATCCAGTATTTTTCCTTTCATTCAGGTGGTATTCTATGCCTCACTTTAGTTTGGCTTTACATTATCTATACCCTGATTCTTCAGTTTTGGGTTTCACATACTCAGGGTGGTTTTGCTCGGCAAGAATTATTTTATCTTCTAAAAGATGAAAAAGACGTGCATTTTCAGTTTGGGAGTGTACAAAAGGATGGAGTGAACAAAGCTTCTCGAGGAATGCACTCCTCCAAGTTCTGCCTTAACATAGCAGGTGACACACCGTCGTCAAACCGCCTCTTTGATGCCATTGCTAGCCACTGTGTTCCGGTCATCATCAGTGATGACATAGAGCTCCCTTATGAGGATGTCCTTGACTACTCTCAATTCTGCATATTTGTTCGCACGTCAGATGCTGTCAGAGAAAAGTTCCTTGTAAATCTTATCAGGAGTATTAAGAAGGATGAATGGACTAGAATGTGGCAGAGGTTGAAAGAAGTAGAAAATTTCTTTGAGTTTCAATACCCATCAAAGGAAGGTGATGCAGTTCAAATGATATGGCAGGCTGTAGCGAGAAAAGTTCCTGTAATTAGGTTGAAGGTACATAAGTTTAGGCGATTTTCACGTTTTGGCACCCATAAAGATGGAGAGTTAAGAAAAATACCAATACCTAGTAATTTTTGGTGACATTCTTTGATGCTCTGTAGTGAACTTTGAGCCTGTCATATATGTCCACTTGCTGTTAACCTGCTTGAATAGGTGAGAAATCCATTGTATCCTCACTGCAGATTTTGACAACTCTTTTGTAAAAATAAAAATATAGAAATTTAGAAGATAAAGAGTGTCTACCATTTTGCTTCTCTGCATGTCTCGACATCACTTCTTGTTTGTCTCTCCATTACTGTCTTTGCTCTAGGTGTTGATAGATTAAGATCCTTATTTGAAGAAGAAGAGTATAATGAGTCACCACTGGCAATAGCATCATCAGCGTGGCCAGGAAGTCCTGCTCAGTGGTATTACAATGACCTTGCTGGGTTTAGAAGTTTTGATAGAAAAAATTTGGAATTTTCTATTGAAAATTGAAAGATCACATTCATTTTATAGAAATCAAAAATTAAAATTTTTTCTTAAATAATAAAAAGACCCAAGTAGCCCACTGTACCCTCCACCCCTCCGTGGGCTTCTGGGTAAACTGATGCATCTTAATGTCTTTTCGTTTATTCATTCACACAAAAAGGAACATCTTTGACCTTCTGTTACACCTAAAATTTGGTTTGGGCTTGCAATCCCAACTACGGAAACCAGAGAAGCCAGAAGTAATTAGGCCCAAAACAAGATCAACAGCCACCATTGGGTCTATGTTCAGTACAGAAACATGTGAAGCAATGTGAAAGATTAACATCTTTTGATTGGCAATTCATATGGTTTATGGACTCTCAAATCACGTTGAGAAATAGATAAGCAAGAAAGATAACAGTCATAATAAACATCTTTTAATGAGCAATTCATGATTTAGGGACTCTCAAATCACGTGGAAAAATAGATAAGCATGAAAGATAGCAGTCCTAATAAACAAGATATATATTAATGGCTGGTAACAAAGAAATAATGAAGAATTAGTGCTAATGGGGCACAATTACATCCGTTACTAACGAACGTTGAGTCTTGCAAAGCAGCGTGAAAGGTTACAGAAGAATATATAGCATCGCAAGGCATCTTAGGACAGTGTAGGAGAATGTGGAACATTTCAAGCGTCACAGAAAAATATATAAATACAAACTGTAGTGAAAGAAAAAAAAAAACCACAAACACACAAATAATCAAACTCAAGAATATTTACAATTTACGAACAACTCTCAGAATATTCTCTTAAGTTTCAATACTTGAAACTTATTAGGTTATAACTTATAGACAATAATTTACAAGTAATAATCAAAGTAGATAGTAATTTTTAAACAGTAATTAAAATAGATTAATAATTTGACTACTTGGTTCCATCTTATATTTTCAACTCATGTATGTGATCATCAAAAACTAAATTTCCATTGAGTTTTAATATCATGTCTAGAGAAAGAGTCTCAATTTGGAAGCATTCTTCATCACCAATAAATGTAAATTTCCATTTAAACCTTGCACATTATTGAATGCGCAACTTTATTATACTAGTTTACAAACTTCAGTTATTCTCTAATTTAATAACTAGAGAGGTATTTTTTTAGTAGATTAATTTGCCTTCTAATTCCATTCATAATTGAGGGGAAATGTAAGTAATTTTCCAAGCTTATTTTTCAAAGTATAGGCCTTTTTTGTTGCCAATGTAGGATTGTTTTGGAAATATAAGTGGCGATGCTGTATGGTTATACAAATACAAGAAGTGTGGGAGAGAGTAAGAAGATGTATTTTACTAACTCATTTTTAAATAATAGTATAACTATTGCAAGTTTTTTTTTATATGGACCTTAACTAAAAGGACTTTGTAGCAAAAAAAGTAAAGAATGATTGAAACAAGTTTTGCAGAAGCAGTTAATATTCCAATCTTGTAGGTAGATGAACCAAATTAAAATGTAAATGTATAACACAACTACTCCTAATGATGTTTTCGAGGTTTTATATTGTAAAAAAAGAAAAAAAGAATTGACGGTCCGCAATAAGACTGGAAACCCCTCGCAGAATGATCGCAACTTTTTAAGTTAGTTAGGTTACGAAATTACGGGGCAAATAATTTGAAATAAAAAATGAATTAAGATTGAAGTCAAACTTTGACTCCCTAATCTAATTTGCAATCAAAATAACAAAATTAAATTAAAAAAATAAAAAATTAAACAATTAAACACAAAGAATAACATGCTGTAATATGAATAAAAATCTAACGAGTTATGAATTAGATATCTTTATAACACAATACTATAGCCTTTACAATACTGAATTCAATGAATTTATAGTAAAAAAGAACTGTGGATATTCACAAATGAATGTTCCAGATAAAATAGATGTTAAAGAAACTAAAAATGATAATGATTGTAAGCATGAATAGAAGATTAAAAACCAACTATCATTCTACAAAATATCACCTGCTGATTAATGTCTATTGATTACTACTTACAATTTATTGTCAACAAATTATCACCTGGTAGCTACTGTCTAACAAGTTTCAAGTGTTTCCTGAGCTGTTTGCAATTTGCAATAGTTTGCTTATATTTTGGTGTTGTTACGTTCTTTCTCTCTAGTTGCAGTTAGTATTTATTGGCCTACTGTTCCTTCATGACTTCTACTAACGGGTAACTCTCTCTTGTATAGGCTGTAGTGCTCCATGTTTTTTTTTGTTTTTTTTTTTTTTGCTGCAATGCATCAATACTCTTCTTTTCTTGCGCCGCAATGTCTTGCTCTGTTATCCTCGTGTTGAAATTTCTCAAGTTGCTTCTGATTGTCTGAATTATGCATTTATTACTACTAAAAGTTTTTATTTATTTTTTTACTATCTGTACATTATTTGTTATCGATCATTTTGCTCCTTTAAAATAGGATTTCCTACGTTTTCATTAAGCTCCTACTTGTTAGGAGTCCATCTTCCATTGGTTTTGGAGAGAGCTTCGATAGTTTCATTAGCATTGATTGATTGGGCTTAATATACTTAATGTAGTGAGTTGAGAGAATAGCCTTTTTTTTTTTTTTTTTTTTCCAATTAAACATACCCATTAGACTTTTAAGTAAAGTCAATTAAGAAGAAACGAAAACTCATTAAACACATTAAAAGATTTAATAGAGCTAATCTATCTTTAATATCCAATTTATTAGGCTGAAATCCGAAAAAAATTTGAGTATAACAATAACTCGCATGTTTATGATTCTTTGGGAAGCCTTGGCTTAGGAATAAAAGAATGAAGCCCAGCTGAAATGGGGGCGATAACAAGAATTAAACAATAAAGCATCATCACGTAAACAAGGTTATATGGCCTGCGAGATTCTACATTGTAATTTAATGAAATATGCCATCATCTCTATAAAACAAGTCTATTTTAATTTGCTTCTCCACAAAAATAAAATCATCTCAATTTCGGCCAAACTCGTTTGGTTTTCTTAAGAATAAGGATTTGAAATGAAAATGGAATTCTAATTCTGCCTGAAACAACATTTATAGTTTAATTTTATTTGCAATGGGATTTTTTATAATAAAAAATAGATGTATATATAGATCAACACACACTCAATAAAGGATATTATGTTTTTATTTTTTACACAAATCCAAAGAGAACCCACCAAAAACCTAAAACTTAGCTACCCAGGGAACTCGAGCCTACCATCTTAGTTTGAGCAAGTCTTTTTCCTTTTTATCCGAACCAACCTCGTGGGGGCAATTGTAATAGGATTTTTTATATTATTTGAGGGAATTTTTCAAAACATCTGCATCTTAATTGAAACTTAGCCAGTGACTAAATTCAAACCTAAATTCTTAAGTCGATCAATTTTTTGGAAGCAATTGTAATAAAATCTTAATATTCTTTAGGTAGGTTTTAAGAAAAAAAAATTATGAAGAACTTTTCTTCATCAATTGTAATAAAATGTTACTATTTTGTAGGGAATTTTTCAAAGGAAAAAAAAAAAAATCTATGAAGAACTCTTTTTCATTTTTAGAATAAAAGTGAACTCGTATGAACACCCCTGAATTATAAGTGATTTTTAAAGAGGTCTCTTATTTCTTTTCTTTTAATTGCACTCACTCTATTTTGCAAGATTTTTAATACTCATGTGCTTATTTAGTTTAACAATAAAAACTAATCAAAGTTGTCATTTAAGAGGAAAAAAAAAAACAATCAAATTGATTTATAATTACAAACTTTAAAAATTTCGTCACAAACAAATGATTTTTATGATATGAAAAAATCGATCGCAATAACTCTGATCACAACATTTGTTTGTGATCGATATGTGGTTATAGAATTATTTATTATTATTATTATTATTTTAAATTGTAACTTACATGTAGTCCTAAATTTAAATTTTTATGTGAATTTGACGTCGCAAATCGATCATAAAGAATTTAAAAATATACTCCAATTCATATTTTTTAAAAAATAATAAAATTATGATTAGCCTAAAATAATTAATCTTCAGAAAAAAATAATTAATAATAGTAATATTCATCTTCATCATTTTTTCGAAGAATTAATTTTCCTTAAAAAAATTATGATTAGCCTGAAATAATTAATCTTCAAAAATAAATAAATAAAATTAAAATTAATAATAGTAAAATTCATCAGCATCATTTTTGCGAATAATTAATTTTCCTAAAAAAATTATTAATAATCATCATCGTAATATTCAAATAATTGCTGAATGAATATCAATAAAAAAAAAAAAAAAAAACAAAAATGCTAACTCGGCTTTTAGCCCATTGAAATAAGAAATTTCCGAAAAAATAAATTTTGGGCTGAAAAGTCCAGTTTGAGTGCAGAGGTGGAATTAACAATTGGAGAAGAAGATAAACCTCTGAAAAACCTCTGCTTAGAAACCAACCCAATGGCTCTTTCTTCTTCTTCTTCTTCTTACTCCCTCCCCCTTCTTTCCCTTCCATCATTTCACCCCTCAAACGACACTTTTTTCCGACTCTCAATACCTTAGGTTTTGCATCAACAAAGGGCCTTTTAAATTCAAAACGACAATCTTCCGTTGTCGTCCATGCTAAAGCGAAAACAAAAGCTAATGAGAAAGCAAAGGCATCACTACCTCTTTCTTTCCCTGTCACAGCCACTGTAGAAACAGTAGTAGAAGAAGAAGAAGCAGAGGAATTTGATGCTGTCAACATAGCAGAGGATGTCACCCAGGTGATTTTTTTTGCCTCTGTTTTTCATTCAAAATCGCTAAATTCTGCCACTGGGTTTTGCTCATCTTTTTATACAGCTTGCTTGCTGATGGGTTTCTTGTCAATTAAAAAAAATTTCATGAAGTTAAAATTTTGAAGAGATTTTATTTAGTTTTGCATGCAATTTATTTTTTTCTTATTTATTAATGTTTATGTTTCAAAACCTCCACTGATTTGAGCAGTTGTGGCAAATTGATATAGTTGATAGGGAGAACACCAATGATATATCTTAACAAAGTTACAGAGGGCTGCGTTGCGAATATTGCTGCTAAACTTGAATCTATGGAACCTTGTCGAAGTGTCAAGGATAGGTAATGTACACCCCCTTTGGTACGTTGATAGTTTCTTGAATAGATATGATGTGTGGATGGTAGTTTTTCATTTTCAATGTTTCACAACATAACAGGATTCGCAAATTTTCAACATCGCCCTTCTATATCGTAGCTAATCAAATTATCATTTGAACTGCACTGTGTGGAATCTTAATTAATTGAGAATAAGATGGATATTTGTGCCAGTTTTCAATTTCTTTTCTCCTGGAGGCATTTTAGAGGTGTCACCCTTGACTAATGTAATCTATTTGTCAATTGCTGACATTTCAGAATTGGTTATGGTATGGTGTCTGAAGCTGAAGAAAGTGGAGCAATTTCTCCTGGGAAGGTAAGCAGTGTTCTTTTTGTTGTAGAGATATATTGCAGTACGGTGAATTCCCTTTTAGAGTGGTTGTATGTTGTGCATATCATATGCTTGTCTTTTTGCAGAGTATATTAGTTGAACCAACAAGTGGAAATACAGGACTTGGAATTGCTTTTGTAGCAGCAACTAAGGGATACAAACTTATCGTCGCCATGCCTGCATCCATAGGGCTTGAGAGAAGGGTCCTCTTACGTGTGTTTGGAGCAGAAATTGTCTTGACTGATCCAGAGAAAGGTTTGAAAGGAGCTGTTGATAAAGCCGAGGAGATTGTTCTCCGCACACCGAATGCGTACATGTTTCAACAGTTTGAAAATGTGGCTAATACAAAGGTCATTAGTGCCTAATCTCATGCTACTTAAAAATTCTCTTTATTTCACCTTAGTATTCTCCTATGGATAGATTTTATAAATCATTTTCTTGCTTGAAATGCAGATCCATTTTGAAACTACTGGACCTGAAATATGGGAAGATACTCTGGGCAGTGTTGACATACTTGTTGCTGGAATGGGGACTGGGGGTACTGTAACAGGCACTGGTCGTTTCTTGAAAAAAATGAACAAAGAAATTAAGGTTGGTGTCATTCTTTGACAAAGAAACTTAAATGCTTATTGTTTCAGTCCTTTGACAACTTATGCATAGCATGTCTAGTTTACATTTAGGCAACTATAGTACTGAAACAACTCATCAGTAATAATTAAATTCTAGGAAATGCGTTTTGGTAACATGTCGTTATCTATTTCTTTTTTGCTCCTGCATGCTTGTGGGTGTTTCCCATTTTATTCATGTGGATTACTTTTGTTGCTATTTATTGATTTTCTTATGCTTTACATGATAGGAACAAAGAGAGATAAAAGAATGAAAAAAGAGGAAGGAATTCATAAAATAGTAGATGCATGTAGATGTTTTAACATGATCCAGACTAAATCATAAACTCTGATTTACTAAAAGTAAGCTTGTTTGCATTGGTGGAATAATTCACTCAATAGAAGTGTTAAACAATTAGAACATTTCATATGAAGAGAATGGTTCTTCAGACCTAAAGTTTGTGATACAAATATCATGATTAAAGAAATCAAAATGATAACCTTTACAATGTTTTAGATTCCTGTAGTATACCTCAATTGAATTAAACAGTTGTTGAACATATCTGAGCAGTTTTTCGAATCCTAAGAAAATGTAAATATACACTTATACTTGTGAAGAGTAATTATAAGTTAGGAGAAAAAGGACAGATAAAATGAGATTGTTTAACGCATCAGGCTTCATAATTCAAACAGTAGTAAACACAAATAAAATGTGCTACATTTTGAAAGGCAATCTTACTCATAATAGTTGTGATACTTGGGATGGATATTGACATTATAGAACCGTAATGGAGACGTGTCTATGTTTGACATGCCTTGGATAAACCAATTACATGTCTAGAAAAGCATATCTTTGACATGTCTGGATATCAATTAGCCTAAACATGTTGTAAGAATCAACTAGAGAGAAGACTCCCCTGGACCAAGAAGATGCATAATTTTTTGGAACCTGAACTTATGTGGTCAATTCAAAGTCTATAAATATTTAGTGTTTAGCCACTATTTTAGGACATATCCATTCTTCAATAACTTTGTTTGTTGCTTTTGGAGAGGGTTCTTTCTCAGGATTTTTAGTGTGGTCGCATCCAGAGTGCTTCCTGCTTATATAAGTGTGGTCTCTCATATCCATTCTTCAATGAGTTTGTTTGTTGCTCTCGGAAAGGGTTCTCTCACAGGATTTTGAGTGTGGTCGCATCCAGAGTGCTTCCTGCTTATATAATGTGGATTAATCCATGAGCATTTGAGGTTTCATGGTTAATATTTTCATTGCAGCCAGCCTTTCAGCTCTCTTATGATGCTGAATGATGTCTCAATTCCTACTTGAGCAAGGACATTGACGTAGATAAGCATTTAATTATGGAAGAAATAGCATTAGGTCAAGTATGTTCTGGATCTTAGCTATACATGCTACTTTTTATATGCATTCCACATTTTAGACAGACATCACTTTCTCTTTTATTTCATTTTTGTTTTGCTAACCTTATCACTCCTAACTTTTAGTAATAACATTACTGGATGCTCTGTTGGAAATGTTGTATGAATGACATACCTGCTTGATTTATTGTGGAATAATATTAAGCATTTTAGATTTGGTGGTAAATTTTTTAGTTTCAGCAGCTGTCTCAGTGGCTATTTAAACACTGCATGATATTGCAATTCTTTCTCAAAAGGAAGGCATGAACTTAGATTATCATTTAGCTTCTGACAACAGTGCTGCATGGATCTTCTAAATGTGGGTTGTTTTTGCTTATATTTAAAGAAAGACACCACTGCAAGGTTTTTTATTAGTATATAGATGTGGTCAGTTAACTATTCACTTTTAATGGGATTGGTGGCTTTTGTTTTTTATCTGTTTCATTTCCGAATTCCCACAATGCAAATGTTATGATTGTTTCTGTACCAATTTAGGGGAAAAAAAGAAGAAGAAAAAAGAATGGTAGTTATGAGGAATAATAAGCTATATCTTATTCGAAGTGATTTCCTGGATCATACAGTTTATTCTAAATCTGTCAGGATGATGTCATGCTATCAATACCTTCTCTATATGTTTACTAGATATTTCAGTAATAGTATGTTTACGAGTTTCATTGTGCAATATGTCCTTTTACTTGATAACTTTTACTGATCTTAGATTTCAAGTTTGATATTGCTGCTGAAATATAATTTTTTCTATAGTCCAACCTAATCTGGTGTTGGAATACTTACCCTATTAGTTACACCTGGCCTGTCATTTTGAAGGTAAAAATGGAGTTTTTATTGTACATGGTTCTGATGAGTGGCGAGTATTAGTTTCTGCAGCATATTGCCTCTACATATGTCGTTCATCTTTCTGTATAAAAGGATGTTCAGCCTTCAAGTCTTGTTTGCTTAGGTAGTCGGAGTGGAGCCTGCTGAAAGGAGTATAATCTCTGGAGAAAACTCAGGTTGAAGTTATTTTACTGTCTATTATGTTCATAGCAATTTTTTCAAAAGCGTGTGCCTCCACTGTTAGTTACCCATAAATTTTGGTGCAGGTTATGTGCCAAACATCTTAGATGTTAAATTGCTTGACGAGGTTGTCAAGGTAAGAAGATGCCAGCCAGTTAATATCCTTGTAATCCACAGTCCATATTGTATTAGCAAGCTGGAAAAGTCTTATCTTCTCGTTCTTTTATAAGTTAAAAGAATGAAAATTAGTTGATGAAAATGCTACTAAACAAGGAGCTTTGTAGGATCAGAAGGACAAATTGCAAGGTGCAAATCATATCATCTGCTTCATTGATGGAGGAAAATCAAGATTATCTTGGTTTTTTGTTTTAACATGATTGAGTTGCACAAACGTTTGTAGAAGTAAATACACAACTTCTGCTTTTCAAAAATACTAGTCATTGTTGAACCAAGATAATTCAAAAAGGCTAAAATTGAAGTTGAATATTTTCATACTTCAATATTTTGAACTGTTTGATCCACAAGTCCACTATTCTGCTGCACTAAAGAGTATTATTATGTGTACAATATTGTTGTTTATCTCTGCTGTCCAAGAACAATTCCTTCTTCCTGATTCTCTATCCCTGCCAATTCAGCTGAGGTCGAAGTGGTTGATTTTTTCACTTATATTATTCCAAAAAAAATGGATTTAAATGAACTTTTTGATTCCACAAAACTGTAGGTCACAAATGACGAAGCTGTTGAAATGGCAAGGAGATTGGCTTTGGAGGAAGGTTTACTGGTATATACAAAGAACTTTCAACAAAGTTCTGCTTTGGAATTTCTCCATTTCATTTTTCTGATATTATTTTTCAGTTGTTTTGCTTATAAGTTTCAGCTTAATTTTAATCCTGGCTGAGTGATAATCTAGCGTTGTTTTAGAGATGAGAGTTGTCTTAGCTAGGTGCTCACCTCAAACTGATATTTGTCCATTTAACTGTCTCTTATTCTGGGTCAGAAAGAAAAAATAAGGTTATCCTTCTATGAATATGTATATGGGCTGGATAGTTTTCATATTAAGCATGTTTCTCTATGTTAATGTAATGTGTTATGCATATAAGCTAGTTTGTTGAATTTATGTTCCTTGCTTGTCTCCAGGTTGGTATTTCATCAGGAGCAGCTGCAGCTGCAGCAATCAGTTTAGGTAGAAGGCCCGAGAATGCTGGAAAACTCATTACAGTAAGTATATTTGTAATTTTGTTCCATTGTTCATATGTAGCACAAGTACTAGCATAGCAGCCGCACGTTGCCATGGGTAAATCTATTATCATATGCTATATTTTAATATTTTAAATAATTCAAAAATGTGGGCATAAAATAAAAATTAATTGACACTAATTGTGAAAATTTTTTAATTTAATAAGTATTATGCAGTATATATATTGAGTTTAAATATATCCTACGAATATTTTTTGTTTTGATAAAGAAAAAAATAACATGCAATTAATTATTATTATTTTTTTAAAATCAAATTAGAAGAAGGTGCTTAATCAATTTATATTTGAAGAATGTTTAATTTTAATTACGAAGCCTTTACAAAATAAAAAAGTAACCATTAATTATGAAAAAAAATTATTTCGAGTAAGTAATAAATAATGAAAAAATAAAAGCATAAAAAAAGAGAGAAGAGAAAAAAGGATGGGCTGACACTTATCCCTTCCGTATGGACTTGGAGAAAACCAGGTCCTCGCATATGACCTGAACTACCTAAATTTTATATTGTAGAAATTATAATTTCCTCAAGTCTATAAATTTTATATTCCAGGCTATGTTAAGCTTATTGATCATTTTGTTATGGTTTCCTCGCTACATAATTAATAGGGTTATTGACTTATCTTTAGAAGCATTTGTTACTCTTTATCTTTGATTTGAGGGTGATATCCTTCTTTATTATTATTTTTTTTCCCTTTAAGTGAGATAGGCTTCAACCATGCTCGAGAAGCATTTTTGTGTTTATAATTAAGGATCTAGATCAATCTGGTTTAAACTAGAACCAACAGAAGAGGGTTTGGTGGATGCAGCACCGTAATGGCCTAATCTGAAGGCAACTGAGATTAAATCTGTTCTTATAATTTGGCACTATGACCAAGTTGAAAGTTGCTAGGGGTCTAATCAAACTGTCCAAAGGTATCAAATTTGTTTCTTCACTTGAAGTGATGCAGCTTGCATCTTTATGGCGATGGTGATTTTATGATTTCTTTGGGGTACGTTCTAGAACATTTTTTACTTCTAGAATCTACGTTGTAAGATTCACCTAATATAGGACATATATTTCATGATTTGTTAGAAACAACTGGTGGAACCTGCATACACTCTTTCATTGACAATTAAGATTACAAACATTTTTTCGTATTTTTGTTTGAAAGTGATGATACGACAGCGTCATTATTCTCAACCTGAAAAATCGTATCTAACATGCCTTTGCTGGTTTCACTGTCATAGGTTATATTTCCAAGCTTTGGTGAGAGGTACATTCCGACTGTCCTTTTTCATTCAATATATGAAGAGGTTCGAAATATGGAACAAAGATAGTTGAACTATCCAGAAAATTTTGAATTATTGAAGAATTTGGGTGTTCTTCGTCGTATCTTCAAGTGAGAAGTAGGTATTACATTGATTGATAGGTCAGTAGTTTAACTGGGTTTTCATAGTAACTTTTTTCATTTGACTGTTCCTGGATCACTTAAGTTCTCCGCACTTTTTTTTCCCTGCAGGTGCAATCTTCATACACATATGAAGGCATAGAATCTGGCTTTATTTAAAGCACTGTAGGATCGATGTCAAAATTTGTCCTCGAGGAAGTTCTTCAGGATTGAGAAGCTGAGCGTGTTGGTCCATTGTCAATTCCTTATTACGTGTCCCTGCAATTTTCAACTTATCATGTGCAGATATATATATCTAAGCGAAGCAGTCACCGTTAAATGGAGCTGCTGTAAACATTTCACATTCACATCATATCATTTATGCCTCTGATCCTACTAACCTTGGTAGGAATGAGTTTCTTCTTCTCCTGGTTTGGTTGTTACATGTTGGGAGGTCAAGAAACTATTACTCATTAATTGATAGGTTGAGCCCATTTTCTCATAGGCGGATTATTTTTTACACTTCTATTTGAATAAATTTTCATTGCTGTTCGTGGACTGGTGGGCCTGCACCAGAACAATGGGCTGGCTTTTTTTGCTCCAAAGTTCCTGTTAGACGTCAGCAGTTGGGGCCATTATTTGGCACCAAATTGACAACCGGTAATTATAATCAAGAAATCATACACCAAGTTGAAAGATAATTTGTTTTTTCTTTTTCAGCTTCTATACGTTTAGATTCGCGTTGTTCATAGAAGCAAGCAAACAGGAGATCTATATGTAACACGAAATTGCGACCTTGCCTGGACGACACTCACATGCTGAAGAAAGTTTGAGATGAAAAACATTAATTTCCTAGACTATTTAGTTCACAATTAGATAGTTTTCCGTGTTACGCTCCAGGTCTAATAGGACAAGATTATTTTAAAATTTAAAATTTTTTTAATCATAATTTTTATTCAATTGATTTTTTTTTCTAATGTTTTTTATAAACTTTTTCTTTAAAAAAACATAAATCATTCTTCTTTATGAATTGATTTTAACTAAAACATTAATCGAGAATTAAAAAATTTTAAAATATATTTTTCATAATATTGTATTACAAAAATAAAATTATAATTAATGGATAGACTTTTATAAAAAATAACAAATGAAAAAAAATTATTTAATGTTGATGAGAAGATTAATTTTTGAAATTATCTACGCAACGCTGTAGGTAGATAGAACAAAATCATTTCAAAATTTTATAATTTTTTATTTAATTATTACTATTTTTTGTGTTTCCATAAAATTTTTAAAAATTCTAAGAATTAATGATATATATTGTATCAATTTATTTTTAAAAAAACAAAAAAAAAAACATGTTTTAAGATTTTATTCTGAAATTCAAACATAGAGAAAAATAAATTATATTTATCAATACATAAAATTATATATAAAAATATTAATTGGCTGAGAATTTTCATTAAAAAAATAAATTTAAAGAATGAAATTTAAATAATAAAAATAATATAAGCTGAAGTAAATGTTAATTTTAAAAAATAAAAAGATATATATATATATATATAATCTTCAGCTTGTATAGAAAAACATGACGATTAATTTTTAAAATTTTTAACACCAAATTAAATAAAAAAAACATAAATTGATGAAAAAAATACAAAGAATAAAAAAAAAGGCATTTAGTGTATCTATTGGAGATTAAAATTTGAAGGACAAAAAAAAAAAAAAAAGTGAACAGTACAATGTAAGGAGATGAACAGTGTTATCACTGTTTAAAAACCCATCTTTTTTAGTTTATTAGTAATAACCGGAATTAAATTCCACCTCCCTTTTCCATATTCGTGATTTAGTCCATATTGAAGGGCTAGGGAGGATTTTCCCTATATCTGGACATTGTTTAATTACGCAGACAGTGATGCTTAAGGTCCCTGTCAAAATTTGTATGTGTGATCTCATGCTTGCGTGCCAGTTGGCTTCGATCTTTCTTTAAGGGGTGGCCCCTGTTCCCAGCCTAATTTGAAGGCCATTAAGAAAGATCACAAAATACAGTGGACTAGTAGTAAAGCAACCCATTTCTTATTCCACATAACAGCATCGATGTCAATTTGGTCACAGAGAGAGAGAGAGAGAGAGAGAGAGAGAGAGAGTTAATCATGATTGAGGACAGGACAGAAGTTAATTGCATTGAAGGCAGTGGGATCAGAGAGAGTAATTGGGCCATAACTAGGACTTCTTGATAGGGTTATCTATTTTCTTGCTATTGGCTTCCAATTTTTTAGCATTGACTTCCTTGCTAATCTTAGCCAATATTTAAGCCAGTTTAGCAGTCCGTGTAAAGTCTCTGAGGTCAAATAACAAACTGCCAAGTGTCCTTAATTATTTACTATCAATAAGTGTAGTGAGTAAACTTGCAGTCATATGTGTGGTCCATAGCAAGGGTCATTTTTCTTAAAACAATGGATCGATCGAGTAGGGCTATTCATGAGGATCATAAGAATAGAAGGTGGCTCGTATCTCACATGCCAACCTTGCATGCTGCATATGTTGGGTAGAGAAGATAGTAATGTTAGAAAGTGACGTGATGGGTTCCACTAAACCCTTAAAATCATCTAGCTAGCAGGAAGGAAGGAATTTAAGGGTTCATAAAGAGATCTTGATCATCTCAGCTATACCTAAATCAGTGTTACAAAATACGTGCTGCATTTGTGTATGACTCATGGTTTAAGGTGATGTTCCTATAGTCTACTTCATGCAGATAAGATCATAAGAAGTACTGTTTTTTTCTTATTAATAAACTCTCTAGTTTAGATGCAAAAATCATGTTTATGATTTGATTGATTTAATCCGAGCGTGTAAGAACAAAATAACTTGAAGATATCAAATACAAGGAAACATCAAATAGATTAATTTACGAAACAATGCATGTGACTTTTATAATCTGTAATATTTTCAGTAAACAATTTTAAGATGTACTTATTATTACAACTTCAGATCATGAGTCACTTTATTAAAAATAAATAAATAAATAAAACACCCTTAATTTGTTTGTATAAATTGTTGACAAAGAATGAACTATTTTTTTTATCAAAATCACGATGATTCAATCCTATGAAAAATCCCACTTTAGTGCATCATCCAAGTCACTTGCATTTCAAGAGAAATCATTGAGCATTGTATCATGTTTATTTCTCCTTACTAGGCATGCATGCATGCCAAATCAAGCTAAAATAAATAAAGAAAGAAAGAAAGTCATCCTGCCATTTTTATGAAATTAGTT